GCGAGCTGAGACTGCGGTTTGCGAGGCCATGATTTCAGTTTCAAAAGTGATCTGTGAAGTATTCAAGGTGTATTGGTCGTGTCTCTGGCCGTGATGCGGTGCTTCGTATCACGTTCCGTCCTTCGGTTCGTTCTTGGAACAATAGAGAAATGGTTCTCTTTTAAGGATAGCAAGTATCAAATATTTCAGCTCGAGGTTGAAAGTGACTTGAATATAAGGTAAATATGAGATTGACGTCCTGGTCTTCAAACATCTACCTTCAATCCATGACCTCCGAAACTCCCGCTTGTCCATTGGTCCAGGTGGGGGCGGGAAGCCGGGGCAGAAAAAATAAAATTGCCTTGCATTTTTCGTTGTTGTCGATCGTCAGCGACACACAACTTTAGACCTCATCTCTCCCCTCTTCTTCCCTTTTCGAAGTTACGGATATTTCTCCTCTTCGAATTGTCACAATGGCTTCTCAGGTCATTAATGTTACTCTCCCGGCCCTTCCTCAGGGCTGGAGTGCCGAGAAGGATTTCACGGCCGTTGGCACTCTGTCTGCCACCACGCAGAGAAACCTCGAGCCCGTCGGCCCTCACTTCTTGGCCCATGCTCGCAGAGTAAGTGCCCTCACGTAGTTTTTGGACGACTTTGTTTTGATCAGGGCAAGCTAACAAGTTTATAGAAGCGTCACCACCGTACTTTCTCCGAGGACGAAAGAATCCAGGCCCAGCAGAACGTCAAGAAGACTGAGGATGATGACGATGATGAGATCTCCGAGCCTGAGGACCCCATGATGCTGTCCAGAGATGCTAAGGACTGGAAGGTTCGTTCATTCATAATTTATGTCATTATGGAAATTGGTATTGATCTCTATAGGCCCAAGATCACTACGCTGTTCTCGGTCTGTCCAAGTACCGCTGGCGTGCTACCCCCGAGCAGATCAAGCGCGCCCACCGGAAGAAGGTCCTCCGCCATCACCCCGACAAGAAGGCCGCCATGGGAGACCGCGACGAGAACGACAACTTCTTCAAGTGTATCCAGAAGGCCCATGAGTTGCTGACTGACCCCGTCAAGCGTCGTCAGTTCGACTCCGTCGATGAAGCTGCCGACGTTGACCCCCCCTCCAAGAAGGAAGTTGCCAAGCGCGGTTTCTACAAGGCCTGGGGCCCTGTCTTCGAGGCCGAAGGCCGTTTCTCTAAGATTCAGCCCGTCCCTCAGCTTGGTGACGAGAACAGCACCCAGGAGGAGGTCGAGACCTTCTACAACTTCTGGTACAACTTTGACAGCTGGCGTACATTTGAGTACTTGGATGAGGATGTTCCTGATGACAACGAGAACCGTGACCAGAAGCGTCACGTTGAGAAGAAGAACGCCAACGCCCGCCGCAAGCGCAAGACTGAGGATATCGCCCGTCTACGCCACCTTGTTGACGACTGCCTTGCTCAGGATGAGAGAATCAAGAAGTTCCGCCAGCAGGCTCGTGCCGGCAAGGACAAGAAGCGTCTCGAGAAGGAGGCTGAGGCCAAGCGTCTGGCCGAGGAGAAGGAGAAGGCTCGTCTCGAGGAGGAGCAGCGCAAGAAGGAGGCCGAAGAGGCCGCCAAGGCCGAGCGTGAGAAGAACAAGAAAGCCAAGGAAGCCGCCAAAAACGCTGCTAAGAAGAACAAGCGTATTCTCAAGGGCTCTGTCAAGGATGTCAACTACTTTGCCGAGTCTGGCGAGCCTTCTCCCGCTCAGGTCGACTCTGTCCTGACTGACGTTGACGCCATCATGGCCAAGATCGATAGTGAGGAGCTCGCCGTCCTGGCCGAGCGCCTCACTACTGCTGGCAAGGACGCCGCCGCCGTCAAGGGCGTGTGGACCGAGGAGGTCAAGAGACTGGTCGACGCCGGCAAGCTCAAGGACGGCGAGGCCAAGTTTTTTGCTTAGATGATTGGCTCGATATAGACCGTGCTTTGTTTGAGTTTCCAGCGGATGAAAAATGATTTACTGCATGGGGTGTAGATAGATCTGTCGCAAAATATGCAACGACTTGATGATAGAATCTAATTATTCACTTGATTTCGCCAACGTCCCTTAAACGTAGCGACTCAACAATCCAGCGCCTGTGGTCGGTTCCATGGAATTCTTGGACTACTTGATCGAAATGACATTTATAATCTCATCAAACTCGCAAGGATCATGGTATGCTTTCTTGTCAATCATGCCAGGTACGGTCGATCGAAGGAACTTTACCTGCTCTGTGGGTCATCTCAGACTTCAAACCGCAATGAGAACGATGAATCGACAATGCATAAGAGGCGAGGCTTCCAGGTTTACAACATCCCCAAGACACCAATATGATCCGTGCATGAATAACACATCTCCCGGTGGGTAATATGCAGTAGGCAATTGGTCCTTTCTATTCAAAGCCGAAGCTAAACATGATGCCGACATAAGCGATGCCAATCAAGACAAGAATTTCTCAGCAAAGCTTGGAAAGCTTGGAGTGCTAATTGTACCAGCTTGATAACTATGTCTAATGAAACTCGCTACGCTGCAAGTAGTCATTGGCACGAGAACTGCCGCTTAGAATCGTCGATGGAAGGATGAAGGAACCGCTGGTTGATGCCAACCACAGCACGTGCGCACCCGAGTGGGACTTTGTTCCTTACTCCAACGCTCGGTCTCCAAATCTCCACCTTCGACCCTGTTATTAGCGTCATCTCCTATGTCCAGTCGCTGATAATGTGGCCGCAACGTGCAGCCATCCCGGGAGATTGCCATTGACAAGAAATGGTAGCGACCGCAATGACGGCTTCGGTGATATGAAAGAATTCTCGGTAATCACCACTTTCTGGCGAAATGTCACCCTGCTAGTTCGGCCCTGCATATGGACCAATAACGTTCCTCGAGTATGCTACTCTCCATCAATTTGATCAGTTGACTTTGATGGACCCTATGATTCGAGCAGGGACTTTCATGGGTATATAAAGATCTTGTTGGCCTCAGTTCGAGGTAAAACAGCTAGCCTCACCCGACCGAATTTCAATTCTTCCAGATCTCCCACAGAGACAGTCGGGCACTATGTTCACCAAGCAGTCTCTCGTGACCCTCCTTGGAGGCCTGTCGGTCGCTCTGGCCCAGACTTCCTCTGAGCAATATCCTTCTCTTGCGGAGATTGAAGCCGCTCAGGCTACTGTTCAGCCTTACTCCCCTGTCTCCAATGTCCGGGGTCTTGCCTTCAACCGCTTTGTCAACATCTGGTTGGAAAACACCGTATGTATACTGCCGAAATCGAAGTGGATGGACTCACTCTAATTAGTTGAATGTTGCAGGACTATGACAAGGCTGCTGCTGATGCTCACATTTCCGCCCTGGCCAAAAAGGGTCTTCTTTTGACCAACTTCTGGGCCGTCACTCACCCCTCGGAGCCCAATTACTGCGCTGCTGCCGGTGGTGAGACCTTCGGCATGGACAACGATAACTTCAACCAGGTCCCTGCGAACGTCTCCACAATTGCCGACCTGTTCGACATCAAGAACATCGCCTGGGGAGAATATCAGGAGCACCTGCCCTACCCTGGCTACCAGGGCTTCCGCTACCCCGAGTCCGGCCCCAACGATTACGTTCGCAAGCACAACCCTGCGATTCTGTTCGACTCTATCACTCAGGATGCCACCAGACTCCGTCAGATCAAAAACTTTACCAGCTTCTATGATGATCTGAAGAATCACCGTCTGCCCCAGCACATGTTCATCACCCCTAATATGACCAACGATGCTCACGACACTAACATTACCTTTGCTGGTACCTGGTCCTGGAACTTCCTGTCTGAGCTGCTTGAGAATGAGTACTTCACCAAGGACACTCTGATCCTCCTCACCTTTGACGAGAACTCGACCTACAAGCTTGGCAACAAGATCTATAGCATTCTCCTTGGTGGTGCTGTCCCCAAACACCTGATTGGCAAGGAGGACAACACCTACTACAACCACTACTCCGTGATCGCTTCCCTGTCTGCCAACTGGGGTCTGCCCTCCCTTGGTCGCTGGGACTGCGGTGCCAACCTACTCAGCCTTATTGCCGAGAAGACCGGCTACGTCAACTGGGAGGTCGATACCAGCAACCTGTACCTCAACCACAGCTACCCTGGCCCCCTCTCCACCAGCAGTCACACACCTAACTGGCCCGTTCCCCTGACCAAGGGTTCATGCTCTGCCGGTCACGGTATTCTGAAGGCTGTCCACAAGATCTACAAGGACTTTGCTCCTACCTACAACTACACCAGCCCTGTCCCTTACGATGCGGCTAGCAAGACCAACGTTGGTGTCAAGTACACTCGCAAGCTGGTAAGTGTTCTCAACCATTCAACATTCAATGTCTGAGGAGTACTAATGAACTTTACAGAAGAACGGCCACGTTGAGACTCACATCACCCAGTAAATATGTTTCCCAGAGCCGCCTTTAAGCCAGGCACATGTATGTTTACAATCACCAGTTTTCAGAACATCCCAAATAAATACTTTAGATATATATATTCGGCCATAGTGAAATCATTGGATCGAAGTCTAGGAATAAAAGCACATATCAAGAGTTAAATTCGGGTACTGAATCCTTGACCAGTTGACGGGGTTTCCTTATCAGGCGACAGCCAGAGTGTGCCCCACATATTGCCCCATCCACACTAGCCCATCTCCCTATGCTTATCAGCAAGGAGTCCCGTTTCCCCGCAAATTCCCCTTCTTCACTTCCAGACTCGACGCTAAAGTCGCCCTTTGGTCTTGCTCTCCACCTTCTAGGCCCTGATGCCGCTCAATAAACGCCCGCGGACAGAGCCAATCGTTCGCGTTCGAACCGGCTGCTGGACATGCAGACGCCGGAAGAAGAAATGTGATGAAAATCGGCCCGTCTGTGGTGGATGCACGCGAAACAAACTCAGCTGTCACTGGCCTGCTCACGTATCATCAAGACCTGGTGAAAATGACAGGGGTACGACACCGGCGCAGTCAGATCTGCACTCACGCGGCAGTGGTCAGATGGACGAGGAGAATATTTTCATCCAGCATGGCAGCCCGCAGTCCGTTCGAAGCTCAATCTCACATGGTACCACGTCCCATTCGCCCTTCTCGTCTGCTGTTTCTCCGACCTCACCTGCGCAGTCAGTGAGTTTGCCAGTTGTACCTCCGACAGAGGCGATTGGGCTGGCAGATCTTGACGCTGCGTCTCTAGTTCCCATGGGCTATTCTCACCCTCTTAGGAGCAACAGCCAGGGCTCGATTGGGGATGTGATGCCGCGTAGCCTGTCAATGCTACCCGGGTACAGTCCGGAGTCCTACCAGTTATTGAGTCATTACTTGGCCACTACTGCCGACTGCATGGCCAATGGATCGACTCCGGTGAACCCGTTCCTGGTCCAAATCGTTCCACTGGCGTTCACGAGTGACCTTCTGCTGCAGCTGGTTCTGACGCAGAGTGCGGCTCATCGAGCGTTCCGTTGCCGCAACGACTCGGATGAGGTTGCTCAGAGTCACTACACCAAGGCGCTGCAGTTGTTTCGCAAGGGTGTTACCGATTTTATTGATGGGAAGGAGTCGAATCCGCTTATGCTTACGGTTGGAGCTTTGTTGATGTGTTTTACTGAGGTGGGTTTCCACGAGCGGTACGGAGGAAAATGACTGACGAGCTTAGACTGCCAGAGGAGACATGAATGGGACCATCTTTGACCACCTGTCAGCCGCGAATACATTGCTTATCCGCCTGCTTGCCCAGAGCGACACTGCGGTCCCGAAAGACCTCAAAAACTTTGTCATTGAGTACTATACGTACACTGCGACCGTGAGCATGATATCCATCGACGCACGGGTCAGCCGTCAGCTCTTCCTGAACTTTGACCTAGAGCAGCGAGCGCGCCAGCTGTTAGAATCGGAATACATCGGTAATCTCTGCGGCTGCTGGCTTGAGCTGCTACTGATGATCCCATGTATTTTTGACCTGGGACGGCAATGGATGATGGAAGATGGCCAGCCGGGTCTCCCGACTGCGGACGACATTGCCATGTTTGGTTCATTGCAAGCACAAATCTTACGCTGGGCGCCTTATCCTTCGGTAACTCCCGAGGTATTCCTCGCAGGACGGATCTTTCAGCAGGCGATGCTGCTCTATCTATATACCTCCCTGGGTGCATTCTCACGGTCCGAGCAGGGAATATATCAAGGTCTTATTGATGCTGCAATCACTGACGCGATGTCCTACCTGCATCAACTCTCAGCTACTGCTCGTATCAATTCAGGACTCTGCTGGCCTATTGCTGTTGTGGGATCATGTCTGTCTGATATGGACCAACAAAATTCTTTACGACAGCGCCTGCACACAATGGTAAACACCTTTGGTCTTGGGAATATGCAACGGACCCTACTTTTGCTGGAACACATGTGGCAGTTGCCTCTGGAGCATGCTGGACCATGGAATATCTGTCGGGCTATGCAGCAGCATCAAATCTGGATCTCGTTCGCGTAACGGTTAACACAATAATTTTCAATTTGGCTAATTTACAGTCATCATTCATTGCATCAGCCGCCAATATAATCGGCGGACCCCTGCTTACGAGCCCAGGTTCTTAGGCGCTTCCGTGGCAGGACCCTCAGGAGTCACATAAGCCTTGGTTAAACCGCCGTCCACCACGAAGTCTGCGGCATTGACGAAGCTGCTTTCGTCGCTAGCCAGGAAGATGACGGCATGAGCCTGCTCGATCGCCTCACCAAACCGACCGGTGGGAAAATGGACCTCGCGACGGAATCGCTTCTCCTTGTCGTCTCCAAGCCAATCCTGCAGAAGCGGGGTGCTGCTATCGTTAGCTTTCACCCACGATCAGGGAACAGAATGACATACTTGAGAGGAGCCGGGCACAGCGAGTTGAAACGGAACCCCTCACGAGCGTGGACGATGGCCAGTTCACGAGTCATGGCAAGCACAGCACCCTTGCTGGCGGTGTACGCAAGCTGAGGCGTAGCCGCGCCAACCAGCGCAACCATACTAGCGGTGTTGATGATACTGCCCTTCTTCTTGCCGTGTCTGCGCAAGCTCTTGACCGCGTGCTTCGACCCGTACCACACCCCCTTGACGTTGATATTCATCGTCAAGTCCCAGATATCCTCCGGTGTCTCCTCCGAATCTCCATCCTTGGGATGCATGATCCCCGCGTTGTTGAACATTACGTCCAGACCGCCCCAGGAATCAAGATGTGCCACCGCCGCCTCCACCTCGGACTCCTTGGACACGTCGACGACACGGTATTCCACCCGGCCGTCGTGCTGTGGCACCACCTCCTGAACCTTGGCAATGGCCCTTTCGAGGCCTGCCGCAGAGATATCAGTCATAAGGACGGAGGCGCCCTCGCGGAGCATGAGGATTGTAGTTTCAAGCCCGATACCACTATCCTTGTCAGTCGTCCTCTTTTCCCTTGGCATTCAGAAAGTAAACAGAAACATGAAATGGACATACCCAGCTGCGCCGGTGACAACGGCGTTCTTTCCAGCGAGTCTTCCAACCATTGTATCTGAATTAATGTGATGGTTTTTGTATACCTATCAAGTACTCGATCTCAAACACATACCTAAACCAGGGTTCTACCACCTTTATACCTAATCTATCCAGCCGAGGTCGGTTCGTCAGTCCCACATAGCTGCGCGGTGAGTTTATCTCTCCACTCTTGTCGCATACTCTTCAGCTCTTGCTCTTGTTTCTGTTACATGATATTGCGAGGCACGTGGAGTGGCCCTGACGATAAGCGAGCGCTGGAAGGTCACGCGCGCCGTCATGCCGCTGTTATGGTACAGATAAGGTGTGGGGTAGGCCCCGGAGCGCGGTAAGGGAACGCGGTTTGCGGTGGGGTAGTTGGCGCGGTTATTTTTGTAGTCACGGATAGAGTGCAGCAGCAGCATTATGAATAATCGCAATGAAGTACGATGTATAGTTGCTTATGTTCATGGCTTATTGAAGCAAGAGTGACAGTGTACTGATATACATTGGTAGAGAGCAAATTAACGATCAAAATTAGCATTCAGTATACAGTCCGACAATTAACTAGCCTAAAGACTAAGCCTGCTCCTCCTTAATATGATAGCTCTTCAATCTATAGAACCCATCAAACGCATGCGGCCCCAGGGTACATCCCAACCCGGAGTTCTTCCATCCAACCCACGCAAGATCCTGTTATCTCATTAGCACTCTGTAAAACCAGATCCTCGAAAAGAAGATGGGGAGATGTACGTACCGGACTAGGATAATCACACCGATTGATGAACACCGTCCCGGCCTCAGTCTCCGCAATCAACTCCTCCCCGCGCGCGATATCTTTCGTCCACACGCTAGCTGTCAGCCCGTACTCGCTATCGTTCATGAGCGCGATCGCCTCCTCGTCGCTGGAGACCTTCATGATGGGGAGCACGGGGCCGAAGGTCTCGTCTTTCATGACTGTCATATCGTGATTGACGTTTGTGAGGACCGTGGGGGCGATGTAGTTCCCCTCGGGTTTCTGCGAGGGGACGGAAAGGAAGGATTCGTTGGGCGGAGTTGCGTTGATGGCGCCCTTGGAGAGGGCGTCGTCGATGTGCGACTGGATGGTTTTCACTGCGTGGCGGGAGATGACGGGGCCGGTGGTTGTGGTTTTGTCGGTAGGGTCGCCGAGTTTGTACCTATTATTGCGGTGCAGGTGTTAGGGTTACTGTTTCTCTGTTGAGGTAGAGTGAGGGGAGATTTGGAAGCATACGTCTTAAGCTCCTTCTGCACCTCCGCGACAAAAGCATCGTGGACGTCCGCGTGGACATACACCCGTTCAATGGAGCAGCAGCTCTGTCCCGAGTTGAAGACCGCGCCGTCGACGATCTGCGCCGCGACGTAGGGGATGTCTGCGTCGGCGCGGACGTATGCCGGGTCCTTGCCGCCTAGTTCTACGTTCACAGGAACAATGCGGCGAGCGGTTGCTTCGCGGATGCGCACGCCGCCTGCTGTGGAGCCGGTGAACGAGACGAGTTTGATTTGGGGGAGTTTGACAATCTCGTCGAGGACGTCGAGGGAGCCGACATGGATGAGTTGGAGGGCGTTGCGCGGGAGGCCGGCTTGAGTGAAGAAGGTGAGGAGGCGTTCGCCGATGAGGGGCGTTTGCGGGGAGGGACGGAGGATGACTGTGTTTCCGGCTAGGAGCGCTGGAACGAGAGTGTTAATCGTGATGAGGTAGGGGTACTGTGCTTGTTAGATGTGTGAGTGAGGCGATGTTCGAACGGAACGTACATTCCACGCTGTCGCGATCAATGTCGGTCCAATTGGTTCTTTTTTCACGCTGCGTCTGAATCCCTTCTCTGGCTGTCCCGGGTGCTCGCGCAGGCTGTCCTCCGCGATGGATAAGAGATAATCGGCGCGTTTGCGCATGGTCTCGATCTCTTTTGCGCTGTAGGCAATCGGCCGGCCCATTTGCGTGGTGAGCTCATTGCTCAGGGTGTCGATGTTCGCCGCAATCAAGTCGAGGGCTTTGACGACGATGTTTTTGCGCTCAGCGAGAGTAGTCTTCTTGTATAATTTGAATGCTTCATAAGAGGCTTGTGCGATTTTGCGGGCCTCTTCCAGAGAGGTGCCCTGGTGTTCGAAGATGACTTCGTTAGTGGAGGGAGAAAGGGTGCGAATCTGGTTAGCCATTTTGGTCGAGTTGGAAGAATATGTGATGCTGGATCGTATCACAATTGATTTGACTGTTAAGTTATTATACGGACTGTGTCCTGTTGATATGAGTGATTATGTGCTCTCGCATACTTCGTTATTGTCGGCGCGGTCTTGATAACGATGTGGGGATATTCGGAGCGCGGTAAGTGTGGGGATATTGTTACTCTTCTTGCCTATTGTGATGATGTGGATATTTCGCATCAATTACGAGGTCACATTCATGCTTGAGAGTTTGAACACCTTTCCCCTATCCGATCTCTGCTATACATGTTTGACCACCGGATCATTAAGTAGGAGCTTGCAAATCGCCTCCCCGACAACCGATCCATCATGCGGTTTTCCAGCTCGGGATAGACCGTCTTTGGACAGTTGGTCGTCCAAAATCCCCATGGCATGTCGTGTATCAATCAGCTTGCTGACCACAAACTCATCGTACTCCGGATGACCTTGGACACTGAAAATCCGTCCAGGACTGTAGAGACCTTGTATCTCGCAGATGGCGCTCGACCCTAAGTTAACACAACCATCTGGTACCTCGTATGCGATATCACGATGCATCTGGTGCAGTGACTATCCCATACCAGTCAGTGAGCGTTTCTTAGGCAAAGTATTCAACTTACCAGAACATTCTTTGAGAATAGCAGCCTCCCAGTATCAGTCAGTATAATCGGCTCAACAGCAATCTCCCATCCTCTGTCGCTGCGGCCCACGCGGGCTCCTAGCGCACGCGCAATTATCTGATGACCGAAGCATATCCCAATGATGGGCTTCTTGTGTTTCTCGTATACCTCTCGAACATAGCTTGTTAATTCGATGATCCACGGCTCATCTGCAAAGGCATCATATTCTGCAATCACGTTAGCTGTTGTGCAAGGATCTCCCATGGAAAACGCACTGCTTCCGGTCAAGAGTATCGCATCACAGTCATCGGGTTCGGGATAGACAGAACCGTTCACCACATCCCATTTGGTGATTTGCAAGTCCACTTGCGAGTCAAGTCCCTGCGCTTTCAGACCTGCTTTGAGAAGATTCTCAAAAAGGTCACCGTACGTCCCGTAACGGTCTTTGACGGGCTGAATGGGAGTGTCGCACTCGAGGATTGCTGCACGAAGAAGGCGCGTCATGATGGCTACTGAAATCAATGTTTCTTGGGATAGTAGATGGTTCTTTCTGAGCTGCCATCATGACAGATGATATCCAGTTGGTAATAATAGACTAGTATGCAGCTCGAATGTTTATTCTCCAACCCTTATCGATAAGCGCGGTCTCCCTTATCGCTTTTCCCCTCACTCCTCACCAGCGCGGTCCCCCATAATTGCTGCCCCGCGGTTACTATCGAACCCTGTCGCAAGTTGCAATCGCGGTGATTATCTTGCTTGAACTGCGATGTCGCCGGTAAACTTCATTGGCCAATGGCTACTTCTCGCGAAGCTGCGGCCCATGTTGCTGGTGCAGTCCGGCATGTCCAGCAAGCTCCACAATAGCATCGATGTCGGTCAACTTTTAAGAAGCTCTTGGAGACTTTCCCCTCGTCTCAGTCATATTTTCTCTCGTACTTGAGTTAACTGTTATAAACATGTCAAAAGATACAATCACAGTAGAGGACCTCCCTGGCCTTCTTGAAAACGACATTAGCGTCAAAGTCGCTGGCATTGACTGCGATGGCATCCTACGCGGCAAGGTGATGGCCAAGGAGAAGTTCCTCGGCATCGCGCAGAAGGGCTTTGGCTTCAGCTCCGCAGTGTTTGGATGGGATATGCAGGACGTGCTCTACACTACGGATGCAAAGATCGCACCTCCCGAATCAGGCTATGTCGATTTCATCGCGGTGCCAGATCTCAGTTCCTACCGACGGATACCGTGGGAAGACAACATCCCTTTCTTCCTGGTGCGATTTGTTCAGAACGAAAAGCCAGTCACTGCAGACGGTCGGAGCATGTTGAGATCGATAACGGACAAACTTGCGGAGGCGAATTGCCAGGCCATGGCTGGAGGTATGTTTCCTGGACACGGACCGAGTATATCGGCTAATTGTGTAGTTGAACTCGAATTTATGAACTTCCAAACCCCTTCACAGGACGGATACTCCAATGGCTCGCAGACCCGCGATATAGCTGCCTTTTTAGAAAGAAATGCACCCAGCGCTCTTCGCCCCATGACCGCAGGCAGTTTCTCATACAGCGCGACACGACCGGTAGCCTTCAAGAAGTACTTTTGGGATATCTTCAACACCAGTGCGCGATTCAACTGTGGGATTGAGGGGTGGCATACGGAGGGAGGTCCAGGTGTCTATGAAGCGGTTAGTAAACTACATACTATGACAAGTACCTACCTTGCTCACGAGTTATAGGCCCTCAAAGTGTGTAATGTTACCGAGATGGCAGACCGAGTGTCCCTGTTCAAGTAAGTCACTGTCGGCGCCATTCGCCGCTCAAAGGGCATCTTGCTAACTTGTTAGACTTCTGGCGAAATCCATCGGAATCGAACACGGAATCACCCCCTGCTTTATGGCAAAGCCCATGTACGGCCAACCTGGCAGCTCCGGTCACATTCACATCTCCCTTTGCGATATCGATGGGAAGAACCTCTTCGCCAGAGACACACCTGACCCCAACGCCCCCTGGTCTGATGCAGCCGGTCTGTCAGACATGGGCCGACAATTCCTCGCCGGTCTCCTGGAGGCTTTGCCGGATATCATGCCCCTGTTCGCACCAACAATCAATTCCTACAAGCGACTGGTGGAGAACTACTGGGCCCCTGTGAATATCAGCTGGGGCTTGGAAGACAGAATGGCGTCGATCCGCATTATCACGCCGCCAGTGTGTAAGCCCGGCGCCACGCGGATGGAAGTGCGCATTCCCGGCGCTGATCTGCATCCTCACTATGCGCTCAGTGTGATACTCGCTGCTGGATGGCGGGGTATTGAGAAGAAGCTTGAAATCAAGGTACCACCTATGTCGGCCTTGAAGCAAGGTGATCGGCCGGAGCTGCTGCCGAACACGCTGGAAGAAGCCATCAAGAGATTCAGTGCGCCTGAGAGCATTGCGCGGGAGATTCTGGATGGGGACTTTGTTGACTTCTTCACTGCCACGCGAGAGCATGAGCTCAAAGTGTGGAGGGAGGCTGTCACTGATTGGTAAGTTTTGTCACTTTGTCAACTTTGAGTTTCTGACCTGTAACTAATGCTTTATGTGTAGGGAATTCAAGAGATATATTGAGACTGTATAGAATGCAGCGGTCATAAGTTTGTATTATGAAGTTATCCATGAATGACAGATATTGCCAAGTATTTGCATAATCTTACAAGACCTTTTTGAATTTATAACTCAGGGAACATATGGCTACAACACTCTAGATACCGCGCTCTTGTACCTTGCCAGTTGGCCGTAAATGTAACCTCAATCGCCCAATGCGGGGAACCATTGATAAACCCCGCACCGCCAGTTGCATCAAGTCAACAATCTTGTCTTTTGCAATCATTCTTCAAATTGCAAAAGAAATTGAACCTTCCTCTCAGCATTAAATCTAAGTAATCAGTCATAATCTACGCAATGGACTTCTCCCTACAAAACCACAAGTCTTTCATCGGCCGTAAAGTAACGGACCTGCCCACGCCGTCGCTGGTGCTCAGCAAACCTGTCCTGGAACGAAATATCAAAAAGCTTCTCCAGGATGTCAAAGACCTGGGGATCTCCTTCCGGCCACATGTTAAGACACTCAAGGTACTGGCCTATCCTGGACCCCCTACCACGTAACAATAACAAACCTACCTAACTCCGCCAGTCCCTCGAAGTAACCCGCATGATGCTCGACAACGGCGCCCACCGGAGAATCGTCGCCTCAACCCTCTGCGAAATTAGAGGCGCCCTTCCTCTAGTGGAAGAGGGTATCCTCGACGAAGTAAGCCCAGTCCAAGCCCGCGTGTCCGCAACAAGCAGCACTAACAAGCAATGCGAGTGAAAAGGCTCTCTACGGCCTCCCCATCTACCCCAGCGCCCTACCCCAACTCGCAACCCTCTCATCAAAGCTGAGAATTGTCCTCATGGTCGACAATGAAGCCCAGATCGACGCCCTCGAGGCATTCGCGCGGTCCTCAGGGCGTACAGACCCCTGGCCCGTCTTCATCAAGGTTGACGTCGGCTCACACCGCGCCGGGCTGGAGAGTTCCTCGTCTGCGCTGCGGTTGCTCGTGGGGAAGGTGGAGGTCTCGTCTGCGGCGGAGGTATACGGGTTCTACTGCCATGCGGGGCATTCGTATGCGTGCCGGACGGAGGAGGCAGCGGCGACGGTGCTGAAGAGCGAAGTGGAGGGCGTGGTTCGTGCGGCGGGGTATCTGGACAGAAAAGACGGGAGGAAAGTGGTGGTGTCGTTTGGGTCGACGCCGACGGCACACGTGGTGAATTCGCTTCGGAGGGCGTTGCCGGAAGGGATGGAGGTGGAGTTACATGCTGGTACGTTTGTTTGTCTTTGGGTTTTTGTTTAGATCGATAGTTTGATGCTGACGTTGATGCTGGTAGGAAACTTCCCCGCCAACGACCTGCAGCAAGTCTGTACCGGCCTCGTGGCCGAAGAGCAGCAGGCGGTCCGGGTCCTGGCGGAGGTGTGCAGTGTGTATCCGGAGCGTAACGAGGCGCTTATCAACGCGGGGACGGTCGCGCTGACCAAGGAGATGAGCGACGTGGTGGGCTTTGGGCGGGTGACTGACCGGCCCGGGTGGGCGGTTGTGAGGATGGCGCAGGAGCATGGGATTTTGGGGCTGGCGGATGCGGCGGGGGTTCAGAGGGTCGAGGAGGTGTTTCGTGTGGGCCAGAAGGTGATGCTGTATATCCAGCATGCTTGTATTACTGCTGCGCAGCATCATGTGTACTATGTTGTTGATGAGGGGGATGTGGTTAGGGAGACCTGGGTGCCGTGGAAAGGGTGGTAGTTACGAGTAGGCCTTGGTGGCAATTCAAGATACGATGATTATTATCATGGATATATAACACAAATCACAAAAGCCAGAGAAATAAGCAAGATCCCGGAGAAGTCATACATGAAGGAGTGGTACCTCGAACGTATAGCAATCTGTTCACGGTCACAGTCATGGTCACGGCCACTGTCATAGTAATAGTCATAATCATATCCATCACGAAGGTCGAACTCATTAGTCGTCATTTTCTCCACCATCATCCTCCACGGATGCTGCCTTTTTCCCATTTCTCCCATTCGCAATCCCGTTCCCATTCCGCTCCGTCTCCGTCTCCTCCTCCTCACCAACAGCCCCATCCTCTTCCTCGGGCTGCGACTGCCGCTGTACACTTTTCCCTTTGACATTTGCCGGTTTCACAGAGTCTCCCGCCTCGCTCCGCAATTCTGCGCCGGACTCCTCCACGAGCTCGTTCTTTCCATGCCGCCCCTTGTGCTTTGCATGCGCCGCACGAATTAGCCGATTATGGTAGTGTCGCTGCTCCGACTCCGGGTCCTCGGTCAGAATCCTCCGTGCGGCCTCCTTTCCGACAACCGGCAGCCGGTCGACGCCCTCCACTCCCTGCGGCACGAGCTTATGGTCCAGCAGCCCGATCTGGACGAGGACGCTAGCTTGGTCCCAGTAGACGTGTTCCGAGTACAGCTTTCCGGACCGCACGCTCACGATGCTGACGAGGATCACTTCCACTTTCTTGTTGGTTGGTGGAACACCGGGGAGCATCCAGGGGACCTCCTGGGTGTGTTCGAATGAAGCGTAGAGCTCGTCTACGACGCGGTCAACGCCGATGGTCCGTGAGAGAAGACGCAGCCGCATCGATGGCGGCAGGTTGCGGAGGAAGTGATGTTCGTAGAACCGACGCAGATCGCGTGCTCCAATGCCTCCGCTCATGGTCGGCGCGTAGGTGACGTTTGGGGTGAGATGGTCGACATACTGCTCCATTACGTTGTTAAGATTCATGGAGAAGAACCGCGCTGTCGACGTTAGTCATCAAGCTTCTGAATGTTGCATCGAACGCAATGCAAACATACCCTCCAGGTGCTCCTCCCACCGCTTCTCAAGGTCAGTATTGTCCGTAACTGTCGAACGTATGACCTGCAACGAGCGGGAAAAGGCCAACTCAGCTGCCAGCCGATCATACTCTTCCAGGTCGTGCTCTGCAAACCCCGGCTGCACGTTATCATAAGTGTAGGCTTGGTGACCGATGTTCAGACGCTCCCCTGTTCCCATGCCCTGGTTGATCCGCCTCGTGGTTCGACGCTTCTTCCCTTGGAGACCCAATGCTGTAGGCACGGTCGTTACGTCTACGGTTTCACCAGCAAGATGTGTCAGGAAGCGGACGGATGGAGGGAATGACGAGCGCGGATCGGGAATGTTGGTTGGATAGTAACATATCAGAGCGCTGAGACGGCTGGCGTTTGTGGGTTTGAGATAGAAATCCAGGCAGAAGGAGGCGGCATCACCGAATGCTATTGCCAGTTAGCTTTATATAGTCGAGTATCTCGGATACGCAAGGCACCCACCGATAACAGCATAGTTGACCCCGACGCCCAATCCCTCCTTGACGGACTTCAATTGACTGGTATATTCCTTCCCTCCATCATTATACGGAAGGTACATCACCTCAAAACCCTCATCCTGCCATTGACGAATGAACGCAGTGTCAAAGTCTGGTGTTTCGGCCGTGATGCAGACCCGAGTCTTTGCTAAGCTGGAGTTGTAGAGGAATCCTCCACTCGCACCACCGGCGTTGATAGAGAGGAGGGCCATGATCCTGGGTGCTGTTCTGAAGGCTTAATCAAAGTCTTGGTTGCTCTATACGCCGTATATATAAGTTGCGAACCCACGTGGAAGAAACGGATGACAATGAGATTATGGAAGAATGCCTAAAATTTTGAATCAGTGGTTCCAGGGGGGATTATCTATCAGATCATTTGGTTCCGTGGACTGCGTTGCTGTGCTTCCTACGTCATCCCCAATGAAGCGAGTCAAGCGACTCTCCCGCAGCCACTACGTCATTTTATCTCTTCACCAACATCATCCGATTTCTGCTTCACCTCGATAGGCTCAACCTGGTGACAAGAGTATTAAATGCAGAGACAGTTGTCATTCAGAACAATCGAGAAGGTCGATCTTCTAGTGCATGACTTATGCTGTTCACAAAAGAACATAAAGAAGAGCTATTCTGGTGTGCCGGAAGCTCAACAGATAATACATAGTAAAAAGACAGCCATACTCCACATGCCGATGGACCTAAGGTGTCTGACAGTGGCGAAAGCCTGTCATGTACGGGAAATAGAGCGGTAGAAGGAACAAGTAATTTGTTACCTTATCATTCAATTCCTGGATAGCGCTCACCTATGTAGCGCCTCAGGCATCCATATCCTCCGCCCCTATTTCCCTCTTTTGTTATTGCTGGCAAGCACATTTATTCCCAGGCAATCAGATTGGGATTCGATCCTCCTTGATGTGTCAAATGATGCAGTGGTGCGTTTGATGGTTTCAGCAACGCATCTTGGAGTAAACGCATACACCAGTCCGTCTCGAGAATATATTTCTATTTCCTATCAGTCCATCACTGTTTGGCAACGGGTTTATTATACTGCACAAATATCAAGGGATGCAAAACCAGTGAACTCAATATTCAAAGCGCTAGCTCCGTACACCTCTAAAAATAGTCCTCATGTCTGCGTACAGGCTACAGATAATCGCGCCTTGGCGTAAACGCCCTCGTTTCGGTCACTATCATGTGAGTTGATATCTTCAGCTCCAGCGTAAGCAGGTCCATTTTGTTGTTATCCTCCATTACACTGGATTCAGTCAATATTTCTAATCGATTTCGTATCCACTCACTCTACAATGGATACAGACAAGGCAAGATATACCCTCCCCGCCTAACCACACCCCGGATCTACACAAGATGCTGACAGCTACCGTCCCAGAATCTACCTCCTCCTCCCCCCTACAACGATGAAAGTCCCTTGAACATGGAACCCAGCGAGCCAAAATATACTCCATATTCCGATGCTTCTCATACAAGCATCACGGTTCCGCCCACATTCCAGCGTTTAGAGCTGGATCCCCGCGACACGATCTACCCTTCCTCTTCCTCGCCGGCTCTGGCGAAGAAAGTCAGGCGCTGCTGTTGTGGCATTCTTATCGGATTTGTAGTAGCGATGGTTCTTTTCCACGTGTGGCTTTATTTGGCGTTTCAAAGCTGGCGGTTTTAATATCTGTGTTGTAGCATGTCGGGGTGTTGTGTATATAGGAATATGTTATGTTTTGGTTAAGGACTCCAAGGGGTCAATGGAAGAAGTCATATGGCTGGAGGTTTTGCGCCCCACCGACCGTTGTGTATCAATGACATGTCCTTTTTCATTATTACTTACCACTGCGGGAACTGAGCACCATTATTAAAGAGCTCGCATAATGAGCGCAATTGTCGACGAAATCTTGTGTGCGTCGAGTTCTGTACGTTTGATACTCGCTCAGTCTAGATTGTACACGGTCGCACATCGATAAGGAAATTACCAGTGGGGAAGTTCGGCAATTCGGCTAGTTGGCAAATCGCAGAAGATCCTTCCGGATTCTTTAGTTAAAATAAGGTATTGATCAAGAAAATTGCAATGTATATTGTAGTGACAACTTGGAGATATTTCAGCCATCCCTGGGACAGAGTTAACCGAATTGTTTGCTGATAATCTGATGGATCGCTGGGTGGTCCATAAGATCCTCACATTGACCATGGTTGAATGGGCCCTTTGTTGATGATAGTGCGATGGCGGCAATTGGTCCAGTTCTATAGCTGCTTGGGAGCCAAGCTTAAGCTCCAATAGGTGAAACCGTCATGAATTGTAGCTGAATGGAAATAGTAACATCAATACCAGAGGTAATTATCTACATTTAAGCTGAAGGAAGACAAGCTATCAATGTTTAACGTCATATGCCCCATAAAAAATTTCTTTCTGTGGGGTCGCTGCGAGCAGGGAACATGGCTCGCTCCAGAAGCTTCGGCTGGCGGGAATAAGTAACCTTTGCGCCCCTCATAGATTGCAACCATCACCGCGCTCTCAATTATCAACCCGCGTCGCAATCAGAGGTATTTACTTTCAAGAGAGCATCACGCTCATCTCGTGTTGGTTTTACTGACATTGACTAGGCGCCAGAGGCCATGTCTTTGGTGCAGCATGTCTCTGCAATCGATGGCGTGGACCGCGAGATAGAACCGGACCTTCGTGACGATGAGACCATCACCACCTACCATGACGAATCCTTAGTGCCGATCCGACGCAAGATTAGCTACGATGTTCTTCATGAGCGCCAACAACCGGTGATAGATGACGAGTCGGGCACTCCGGCGTACGAGGTCTCGACTACGATTAGACTTGGTATGCAAATCCGTCATATTTTCGCTTTTTCCCTTTCATCAATTGAGGATGGGACCCTGACCTAGCTTAGTCCAGGTAACAATCACGATTCTCGCTTGTTGGTTCGCGTCTGGAATTGTCTTCGGCTTCGCTGCGTTGAAGCCTGTCCTGATCGACCAAGGCGTCTATCGCGACCTCTGCACGAAAGAGGAATTGCGTGATGGCGTAGAAGTTTGTTTTGAGCAAGATCTTCGGTAAGTACTTTTTACCGTTTTTACCAGATTAGCTATTTTCTTCCCTGGCTGAACCCTAATCCTTCAGGCTGAATTTGTTCTTCACGATTGGCTCCATCACCGCCAATGTATCTGCTCTGCCGGTCGGGACTATCCTCGACCGATATGGTTCGCGCCTCTGTGGCTTCATTGGGTCCGCTCTGCTTGTCGCTGGTAGCGTGCTGATGTCGCTTTCATTTTCGCGACCGGATTTCGATGGGTACATCATTGCCAACTTCTTCCTAGCTCTTGGAGGGACATTCATTTTTGTGCCCTCGTTCCAGATTGCGAATGCGTTCCCCAAACATGCGGGCATCATCGTCGCTCTTGTTACCGGCGCATTTGATGCGTCTGCTGCGGTGTATCTATTCTACCGGATCCTCTATGAGAGCAACCCGGAGACTTTTACACCGCAGAGGTTTTTCCTAGCCTACGTGGCTGTTCCGGTCTGCCTTCTGGTTGCCCTGATTACGATTATGCCTGCGCAAGATTATCAATCACCGCACCAGCTGGAAGTCAAGATGGAACATGCCAAGGATCCTATGCGGGATATCCACGAGTCAGACCAGGAGATTGAAAGCGACTCGGAGCTGCGACGGGTGCGAAGTCAACGAGCCGAAGAACGAATGGACGATATGCGCCAGATCGACCGAGTCCTGGGTGATGCCGACGAAAGAAGACATCGCGAGGAGCAGGAAGAGGAGCGCCATGCGACCAGTGTGGTCTGGGGTGTCCTTCATGGCTTGCCCGCACGCAAGCAGATGGCTACGCCATGGTTTATTTTGATCACCTTGATGACTGTCCTTCAGATGCTGCGGATGAACTACTTCATCGCAACCATTCGGGCCCAGTATGAGTTCATGCTGGCTTCCGATACGCTGGCTGAACAGATCAATGATTTCTTCGATATTGCCCTACCGGTAGGGGGTGTCTTTGCCACCCCATTCATCGGACTGCTCCTGGATCATCTGAGCGTTCCGAACATGTTGACCATCATTGTCATCCTGACAACGCTCATTGGAGCTCTGAACTCGGTGCCAGCAGCTTGGGCCGGTTACACCACGGTGACGTTGTTCGTCCTGCTGCGCCCGCTGTACTATTCAGCCATGTCGTAAGTGTTTGTCTGTCTCCTGTTTATTTTCGTGGGCTGACCTCGGCTAGGGACTACGCCACCAAGGTGTTCGGCTTTGCAACATTTGGGCGCGTGTACGGGACCATTATTTGCGTGTCTGGCTTGGTGAACTTCAGTCAATACGCGCTGGACGCATTGACACACGGACCCTTCGACGGCAACCCAATCCCTGTCAACATCTTCCTGGCGACAGCCGGATTTGTGGTAGGTACGGTGCTTGTCTTGTATGTGCAGATTGCTGGTAAGCGCTTGAAGGAGAAGAGACTGGCCTTGGAAGGGGATGAAGAGCGAGAACGATTGATTCCGATTCAAGAGGAGGATGCTTAGACCTCTTTTTTTCCAGGTCTGTGACGGTTAACTTTATTCTTATCTGCATTGCGATAAGGATCGTAATTATTATTTGACCCATAGACTGTCTGCTGTGATGCTGCCAACAGACTGAAAGATGCATACTTGTTTTACCTAGGTTTGGACAGCTGCCAGGCCAGTGGCCACATGGCCTGACAGTGTCGGACCAGAATAACGATAATAGTAGGTAGATTCTACCCCGGACTTAGTCCTAACAGGGTATCAGCCAAACTCAAATTGAAACTTTCAATTTTAGAGCTGTCTTACCTGCTCATCTTTCGGCCGGAAATCCCCTCCTCTCACCCATTCACAGTACCCCGCCACACCACCTACGTTGGATAAAGTGGCCAATGGACTCCTACGCGTCCCGCGATGAGCCATCTAGAAACTCAAATCGCAAAAATCCGGGGTAAGCACCAGAACGGGTAGATATAGGCGTGATCCTGTCGGGCGATTGCCTGATCTTGGTCGCCAGTGACAAGGATAGCTAACCAGCAGGGGGGATTCTGAGCTTGTTTACGAGGTTGCCAAGGGTGCGCCAAGGTCGCCTAGGAAGTAGTCTTTCTAGTTCATTCCTAGTCTACCTTTCGGTGGTGTCTGGGTGTGGTGGGTTGGCCTAGCGGTCTGAGCTGCGACTAGATTGAACCAAGACTTGTGGTTTTGAAGAAAGACAAGGTAATCCTGTGCTATGCTGGATAGTTGCACTTGCATGCATTGGGAGGTTTTTGGCCAATGGAGGTGCTTTGATCCTGGTATGATTAAGGTTGGTGGTGGTTGACATCTAGAGACTAGACCAGGGTTTGTGCCTAGGTTAAGGGTGAAACTGGACAGGGTCTCGAGATAGCTGCCTTACCTAGGTATCTAGTTGGCTAGATAGCTATAACGAATACCAGCGACAGGTAACAAGCCCTCAATCAGCCACAACTGGGCTTGGAAAGTTGGCGCGGGTGAACCCGGGGCTCTACACTGTATTCAACAGGCACTCTGCTAGTTGTTGGAGACACGTTGACTGCGTGGTTGTGGGACATAAATTAAGAGAGTGGCAATTAGGATGGAAATACATGTTAGTTTCAGGTTGAGAGAGTAGGATAACTTATCGTATACTTGGCGTCGTACAGTCTTCTCACTGAGGTTGTATCTGCAGGACAGCGACCATCTTTCCACACATTCATGACATACACCATCCTATTTCCTGCATCTATCGACTTTCGATTTTACTCTGCTCAACATCCATGTTCCAGCTGACCGCGTAACTTCCATCGCGAAACCTAAAACCGCTTGGCCCTGATCCTGCCAAGCTGCCAAGGGTCAGTGTTGATGTCAGTTGTGTCTTTTCCCCCGCATCCAGACCGTCTCCGGATCGTCCTCTTGCGCCGCTCTCCACATCCCCCAGCAGAAATGCTGGGGAGAAATTCTGGTTTCCCCTGTTTTATCTGGGGTGTACTTGCCAGCGACCGAGGTATTTTGCCAAACCAGGTCGGCTATTGCTCTGTTCTGTTTAGCGCTGTCGGTAGTTGTTCCTTGTCTACACTCTACACCGACGAATTAGATCAGCTGAGGCTGGACAGATCGGACAGTGCTTCAGATAGAGGGGCAATTGTCTTAGAGCTTGCTATTTGAGTGTCATCGGGTGTGCGATCTGCAACGTATATCTATCTGTGTCTGCCCCGCCGATCTGAGACTAAAACCAGCAATTCTATCGTCCAACTGGTGTTTGACAGCTCAACCACTTCGCAGAAACAATGTCACCTCCTACCAGCGAGAAGCCTGGCAGCGTGGAAAAGGTCGAGGTCGAAGATGTCGGCCAGCGCGCTCTCGACAACATCGACTACGACGAGGAATACTCGTACGAAGAGCAGCGCAAGATTATCCATCGCGTTGACCGGCGGCTGGTCACCATGACGGGTCTTGCATACTGCGTCTCGCTGATGGACAGGACGAATCTCAGTATGGCTGCTGTGGCGGGGTATGATCCTACGATATTATGAGGTGCTTTCGATGATGCTGACTTGAGCAGTATGATCAAGGAGTTGGGATTGCATATCGGAACGAGATATGTATGTGCGACGTCTTGATTTCACGGACCTGAAGCTGACTGAATAGTCCGTCATTGTGCTTATCTTCTTCGTCCCCTATGTCATCTTCCAACCCGCCATGACGGTAATTACGAGAAAGCTGGGTCCTACATTCTTCCTGGGGGCTATTGTCATTTCATGGGGCGCAATCTTGATCGTATGTTTCCCTGTTCAGGTCGAGGGGCATCAGTCTAATCGCAAGACAGGGAATGGGCTTCACAAAGGATTGGAAACAAATGACTGTATGTCGTACGTTGCTTGGTCTTCTGGAAGCAGGGTACTTTCCCGGTTGTGTGTACCTGCTTTCCAGTTGGTATGTGAGATGTGAGTGTCCCTTCGCCCCGGATGGCCGGTGCTGTGTGCTGACTTGACATAGACGACGTCCAAAAACGTTTCTCGGTCTTCTATCTTATTGGATGTGTTGCCTCGGCCCTGGCGGGTATTCTCGCTTTCGGCTTGTCTCAAATGGCTGGTATCCAGGGCCTGGGAGGCTGGAGATGGATCTTCATCATGGAGGGAGTGGTAAGTTGACCCCCACCCCCTACCTCCCCAAACCTCATGCCAGTGCTGATGATATAGATCACCGGCATCATTGGAGTCTTGACCCTTCTCCTACTCGTCGACTTTCCCGATCGCGCACACAAGTCCTGGCGATTCCTCAGCGAAAAGGAATGCGCCTTTATCGTCCGGCGCATCAACCGGGACCGGTCCGATGCTGATGATGAGCCCTTCAATCTAGCACGCTTCCTCACCCCGGGTCTCGATCCGAAGATTTGGGGCTTCGCAATGATTTTCCTGTAAGTCCGCGCGTGTCAACAACGATTCCACCACTGACCATCGCAGCTGCACCACCACCGTCACCTATGCCATCGCATACTTCCTGCCCATTATCCTCCAGCAAGGCATGGGCTACAGCGTCGGCGCCTCGCAATGTCTCGTCGCACCCCCCTTCGTCTTCGCCGGCATCGTCATGTTCGCCTCCGCCTGGGTCGGCGACAAGTACCGCGTGCGAGGCGTGCTCGTCGCCATCAACTCCATCCTGTGTCTGATCGGCCTGCCCATCCTGGGCTTCCACTCGAACAACGCCGTCCGCTACTTTGGCGTCTTCCTCGCCACGGCGGGCGCCAACGCCAACATCCCCGCCATCATGGCTTACCAGGCCAACAATGTCCGCGGACAGTGGACCAGAGCGTTGTCCAGCGCGACGCTGGTGGGATTCGGTGGGATTGGCGGTATCATCAGCAGTCTGGTTTTCCGGTCCCAGGATGCGCCGGGATATCGGCCTGGCATGTGGACGACTATCGGGTGCGTCTCTCTTTCTTTCCTTTTATTTCTGCAGCAATACTAACTAAAATAGATGCAATATTCTGATCCTGGTTATCGTGGGGGCTATGAGTGTGTGGTTCCGCATCTGCAATAAGCAGGCGGATCGGGGGCAGCGGATTATTGAGGGGTCGGCTGACTTCCGGTATACGATTTAAATGGATGAGATATGAGTACCTATCGTGGCTTTGACTAGCTTTGACATATAATGCAGTTAATGAACTGGTCCTATACTAAAAGCCAAGAAGTCTCCTAGTCCATATATCTATGCCTAAGGCATACATCACACTAGATAAAGTAAAGCTAAGCCCTGTCAGCAATCTTTACTAGTGCCTAGTCTGGTGATGCAACGGCTGTCATCATGCTCCAAGCTCCAGGCTCCAGCTATAAGCTTATCATAATAAGCACAGCTCCTAGCATGAATCATACCCCGCACTAACCATCCCACTAACACCATCTATCTATCTACCACATCAACCAAAGCTTAAGCGTAAGTACCCCAACACCCATCAATAAACTATACACTAACTAGCTAGCCAGCCAGCCAACCAGCCAGCTAGCAAGCAGAAAAATGCCCTGCACAACCTGCCCAACAACCCACCCCTGCCCCCGCTGCAGGGGCACAGGAACCACCTCCGAGCCGTGCCCCTCCTGCTTCGGCAAACGCGGGTTCTTCGAGATGGAGGGCGGCGGCGACGAGGCGCGCGGGGAGTTCCATGCGCCGTGTATCACGATGCAGTGTCGGAGTTGTGATGGCGAGGGGATTGCGCTTGAGCGGTGTAGGGAGTGTGTTGGGGTGGGGTATACGAGGGTTTATTGTGGGGGCTGTGAGGAGGGGTTTCGGAGGTATCATTATCGGGATCCGGATCGAGGTAGGGGTCAGGATGGGGTGGAGAAGAAAGAGATGGATGAGAAGCAGGGGATGGGGAAGTATGATAGGGAGGATGAATTGAATGAGAAAAGGGGTTAAGGATGTGTAGTATAAGGTATGTGGTGAGGTGATTGAATTTGCCTGTGGTTAAATGCCTATGTTGTGCTTAAGGTCAACTAATACCTCTGGCCTAGAAGAATGCGCCTGCATGGCCCTGATGATCTGTTGGCCATTTGCTCCCAGTCAGCCTCATTCAAAATCACTGATTGCAGATAGAATTCCGATATGCATGTACCTGTCCAATGCTCTCAATTCTCTGGCAAGCACATCTCCCGTTCTTGCTTCGTATCAGAGACAATCTTCCATCATGGACTACAATAATCCTCTCGACCTTCTTCATATGGCGGAAGAGGCTGATTGGGTCAATAAAGTAAATATGGCGCGCGTGGACGGACGTATCTGCGACTGGGTCAAGAGCTTCCATCCCAAGAATCTTTCATGCCGGCTGGACGGTGGATTCCTAAACAGTGCATACAACCTAGGCCAGAAGTTTGCCTTTGACGATGGGACAATCTGGTTTCTTCGTCTCCCTCGGGCTAGCAGCATTTCCCCGGAATATGCAGACGAGAAGGTGGCTATGGAAGTGGAAGCTCTTCACCTGATCCGGGAGAACACATCGATACCCGTTCCAGAAATCTATGCCTGGGGATTTTCAGAGGAAAACCCCCTTGGTTTGGGCCCTTTCATGCTAATGAGCTTTATCGATGGCGTGTGCCTTAAGGATGTGCTCGGCGAAGACGGTTCAAGACTGCTCAAGCAAGGAATTCCTGATGCCGATATCGAGTACGTCTACAGACAGATGGCGCGCTTTATGTTGCAGCTTTTCAAGCTCGATTTCGAACGGGTTGGCAGCTTGCCCAGCCCGAGGACGAAATTTCCCGCGCCTGCTCGTCCACTCACATGGAAGGTACACGCGATCCTGAGGCTAGGAGGTGTAAATACCTTCGGTTCGTGCTATGCCTCGAAATAGGATTCTTTACTAACAATCATAGGCGATCGCGATGAGGGTTTTTCTACGACTAGAGAATATCTTCAATATGTGAACAACCAAGACTGGCAACAACTACGACTCCAACCGAATTCAATCGCAGGTCCGGAACATGCCAGATCGAGCTACGCTTCGTTGAAGATTCTACAGTCTCTAATACCCGAATTAACCAATACAACCTACGACCGGGGCCCTTTCAAACTCATCTGTGACGATTTCGGCCTAGGAAATGTGATTGTGCGAAGCAAGGATGACCTTACAATCACCGGCGTAATAGATCTTGAATGGGTTTACGCCGGCCCAGCTCAGTTATTTGCTTCGGCTCCTTGGTGGCTTCTTCTGGATCGCCCCATTAATACCGAGTGGGACTTTGAAGAGGGAGAGGCTCCGAAAGCGACTGATCGCTACTTCGAATGTCTGGCAATCTTCAAGCGTGTGCTGGCGGAAGAAGAGGCAGAGATGACGGGAAATCGAGGGAAAGAACTCTCTGAACTCATCCAATGGTCCGAAGACTCGGGTGCCATGTGGCTCCATATGCTCCTGTCGAGTGGCTTTTTTGATACGCTCAGCTTCCCTTGCATGCAACTGCGGAAGCGTCGGGGTGCTGAATGGTGGGATGAGCGCATCGATGAGTATAGGGATACAGAGGAAGTGGAAACATTTGTGACGAACAAGCTGGATGATTTAGCAGCATATGACAAGGTTGAGGATAAAGTTGAACACTACAAAGCCCTCATGGACAGCAAGGAGATGACAATAGAGGATTTTATTTGCACTGTTTCCTCTCTTCTCAGGGTGGCTCAGTCCATGGAATAGCGCGTGGATGACGTGACTTTGGCGGCTGGAGACATATTCCTGTGGTTCTTCTACAAAGACATGTTTACCAGATACTATCAATTTATACACGTTATGACTTCTTCACTCCGATCAGGTCAATTTCTTCGAGGTCGAAATGGAATGTACACAATTACCAAATGTCTCCAGGAGACAGTTTGGCTAGCAAAGTATGAAGCTCCCGCAAATCTAAAGGACAGACTCCATTTACAGCAGATCTTTCAGCAGGAATGGAAGGGATCACTCAGTGATTGTAAAGAGTGTTAATCATTTTCGGCTCCAGAATGAGCGTGAAGTGCTGAAGCGCTTTCAATCTTGCACCCTTCCTAAGACCCTTGATCGATGAGATTGTCGAGCCGCCCGATCCGCCGGCTATAGTCTTGAAATATTTGGATGATCACCTATTAAACGCCTCTGCCTCTCAAAGACTTACGAATCAGGAGATCAAATATGTTGCAAGAAGAGTCCTAGAGTGTTTAACAGTTCTACATGAACATAATTTCGTGCATACAGGTGAGTGCAATAGCCGTTTATCAAGTACATTATCTTACTTATTTCGTCAGACATTAAGGCCGACAATATTCTCGTAGACTACGGCCAGGGAGATATACGCTTTACAGATGTTCAATTGGCAGACTGTGGGAGCACTGTTCCTGCAGATTCAGCCTATGCTAAGGATGGCGATCTGATCGGAGCACCACTCTGGAGAAGCCCCGAAGCCCATCTCCGAATCGGCTGGGACACATCAACAGATATATGGTTCATTCGCACGTTGGTATGTCCGCATGCCATTTTCATATAGATGGCCAGGACTGACTCTATAGCTCCTGGCATTGCTCTATGGAGACAATTTCTTCATTTTCGAACCCGACGTCCCTGCGGATCACGATGGATACGTATTAAAGATTTCTGCAGAGGCAGTGTCAGTTCTTTGGGCCATTCCCTTTGACGTATCGCGAGATCTGTCCTCAGGAGACATTAAATGTCCTGGCGTACATCATGCGAAGCATCCCGCCCGAAAAGAGAAGGTCATTTAGCCGGATTTCGAAGGAGGAGGTCTCCCCGGAGGACAAGGAATTTATTCTCAAGGTAATGAAACTTGATCCGAGGGATAGGCCATCGGCAGCGGAATTGCTGCAAGATAAGTGGTTTGACTTGGAGTAGATGGATTACCACGTCGACTCCGGAACTGGTATGTTGTCCCAGATATAGCCCAGAAATAGCTATGTTTCTAGTGTTGATCTAGACTAAATGGATCCATGTCCATTATTGGATGTCCCCGGTATTTCCCTATGGGAACTCCGCTGGAAAAGCATACCGGGGAACAATCAAGAATCCCTATCGGAGAAGCTGGACTACTGGAGGAAGCTGAGGTCGGTTCTTGCACGACAGAGTAAATTCAACTGCTGTCTAGATTCTTCATGTCTAGCTCAGTTTGAATAGAAGCTTGGATCATTGATTGACACACAACGTCCTTCGTGCGAATTGCTACTTGCACATTGGATTTGCCCGTGCTCCTGGCGACTAGTTCCCCGCGGGAAACTTCTTATCGGTCGCGTCGGCGGATATGTAATCGGACGGTGATTGGCCCGGATGAGCGTTATCGGCCATGTTGGACGACGACGAAAGTTTCCCGCCGTCGGTCGTCATCGTCCGCGGTCTTTTATCGGACACAATGAGCAGAAATAATAATAATTATGACGGCCAATCTCGTGGTGGTTGATTTTTCTTCTTCCGATGATTCCTTTTATTTCTTCTCTTCCTACAATCTCAATTCTCGTCCCTAATCCATCCCTGTTCATGCGTTGAGCTGACCGAGTCGTGCGACCGACCTGTGACGACATACCTACTCTCCTCTGGACATTCCGCCTCGGTCCATTGGACTCCTTCTATCCGCAGGCATGGCTGCATCCTGGTGCGCCCTCCGTGGCACTCGCCAGCTTGCCCTTCGTACGCGGTTGCGTGCTTCTCCTGCCTCAATCTCCCTGCGAAAGGCCTCTCCCTCGCCGGTTTTGGCCACTCGCCGTTATCTCAACACTACCACACAAGCAACGCCAGCTTCACGACGGGCAGTTTATACCAGCTCCGTAGCTGACCATGGCGACCCTCATCCCCGCGATCTCTTCCAACCCCTCGACACATTCCCCCGCCGTCACATTGGCCCCTCACCCGAGGCGGCTCAGGAGATGCTCTCCGCATTGGACCCTCCGGTAGCATCTCTGGATGAGTTCGTCAAGCAGGTGCTTCCCGCCGATATTCTGTCCAAGAAAGACCTCGCAGTCACCCCTCCCAGCGCCGCCATCAACCTGCCTCGCTCCAGTGTACACGGCGGCTTGGGAGAGACGGATATGCTGAAGCTGCTTGAGACCTACCGCAAGCAGATTGACATCTCCGGCAAGACATACCTGGGAACCGGCTACTACCCCACCATTGTTCCTCCGGTTATCCTCCGCAACATTCTGGAAAACCCCGCTTGGTACACCAGCTACACTCCCTACCAGCCTGAGATCAGCCAGGGCCGTCTGGAGTCACTTCTGAACTTCCAGACCTTGACCGCCGACCTGACCGGCTTGCCATTTGCCAATGCCTCCGTCCTGGACGAGGCCACCGCCGCTGCCGAGGCCATGACCATGTCTCTGGCCACCCTCCCCATGGCTAAGCAGAAGAAGCCCGGCAAGGCGTACGTGGTGTCTGATCTGTGCCACCCTCAGACCATTGCGGTCATGCGGTCTCGCGCTGAGGGATTCGGAATCAATCTGGTGGTTGGTGACATCATGGCGAACGACTTTGAGCTGGTCAAGAAGCAAGGTGACAACCTCATTGGTGTTCTCGCGCAATACCCCGACACCGAGGGTGGTGTGTACGATTTCCAGGCCCTCAGCGACAGCATCCACGCCGCTGGTGGTACCTTCAGCGTTGCTACCGATCTGCTGGCTTTGACACTCCTCAAGGCTCCCGGTGAGTTCGGTGCGGATATTGCGTTTGGTAACGCCCAGAGATTCGGTGTCCCCATGGGATTCGGTGGTCCTCACGCCGCTTTCTTTGCCTGCGCCGACAAGTACAAGCGGAAGGTTCCTGGACGTGTCGTCGGTGTGTCCAAGGATCGTCTGGGCAACCGTGCCTTGAGATTGGCTCTGCAGACCCGCGAGCAACACATCCGTCGCGAAAAGGCCACCAGCAACATTTGCACAGCCCAGGCTCTGCTTGCCAATATGAGTGCCATGTATGCCGTTTACCACGGTCCGGTTGGCCTCAAGTCTATCGCCCAGCGTGTCATGGCCATGACCTCGACTCTGCAGGAGAAGCTGACTGCCTTGGGTTACAACGTTCCCGTCAAGGGCGGCGCTGTTTTCGACACTCTGTCTGTCGAATTTGCGAGCAGCCAAGAGGCTGACGCCCTGATTGCGGCCGCTCGGGAGCAGAACATCTTCCTCCGCCGCGTGTCTTCCACCAAGGTCGGTATCTCTCTTGATGAGACCGTTGGCCGCGAAGAGGTCAAGTCTCTGCTGCAGGTCTTCTCCAAGCACGCCGGCAAGGGTGAGGTTGAGCTCGCTGAGGAGATTGGCATCAAGTCCATTCCCCCTAACCTGGAGCGGACCTCAGCCTACCTCACCCACCCCGTGTTCAACACGCACCATTCCGAAACCGAAATGCTGCGGTACATCCGCCACCTCGAATCGAAGGATCTGTCTCTCGCGCACTCGATGATTCCTCTTGGCTCCTGCACGATGAAGCTCAACGCAACCACCGAAATGATCCCCGTCTCCTGGCCCGAGTTCTCCCAGATGCACCCCTTCATGCCCGCCGACAGGGCCAAGGGGTACACGCAGATGATTGACGACCTTGAACAGCAGCTCGCCGAGATCACCGGCATGGCCGAGATCACCGTGCAACCCAACTCTGGTGCTCAAGGCGAGTTTGCTGGTCTGCGTGTCATCAAGAAGTACCTTGAAGCCAAGGGAGACGAGAAGCGCAATATCTGTCTGATCCCCGTCTCGGCTCACGGCACCAACCCCGCCAGTGCTGCGATGGCCGGTATGCGTGTAGTCTCGATCAAGTGCGACACCAAGACCGGCAACCTGGATCTGGCCGACCTCAAGGCCAAATGCGAGAAACACAAGGATGAACTTGCAGCCATCATGATCACCTATCCCAGCACCTTTGGCGTGTACGAACCGGGTGTCAAGGAGGCCTGCGAGATTGTCCACCAGCACGGTGGCCAGGTCTACATGGACGGCGCCAACATGAACGCGCAGATTGGTCTGTGCTCTCCCGGTGAGATTGGTGCCGATGTGTGCCACTTGAACCTGCACAAGACCTTCTGCATTCCCCACGGCGGTGGTGGCCCTGGCGTGGGTCCCATTGGTGTTGCGGAGCACCTGCGACCTTTCCTGCCTTCGCACCCGGCCAGCGAATATCTGCAGTCCAAGCGTGGAGAGACCTCTTCGCCCCCCATCAGCGCTGCTCCTTGGGGTAGCGCCAGCATTCTTCCTATTACCTTCAACTACATCAACATGATGGGTGCCAAGGGTTTGACTCACGCCACCAAGATTACTCTCCTGAATGCCAACTACATCCTCTCCCGTCTCAAGCCCCATTACCCCATTCTTTACACCAACGACAACGGCCGCTGCGCCCACGAGTTCATCCTCGATGTGCGCAAGTTCAAAGATACCTGCGGTATCGAGGCCATCGATATTGCCAAGCGTCTGCAGGACTACGGCTTCCATGCCCCCACCATGTCCTGGCCTGTGGCCAACACTCTCATGATTGAGCCTACCGAGTCGGAGAATAAGGCGGAGCTGGACCGGTTCTGTGATGCGCTCATCTCCATTCGCAAGGAGATTGCGGCCGTTGAGAGCGGCGAGCAGCCCCGTGAGGGTAACGTCCTCAAGAACTCCCCTCACACGCAGCGCGATCTGCTGTCCAGCGAGTGGAACCGTCCCTACTCGCGGGAGGCTGCGGCGTATCCTCTTCCGTATTTGGTGGAGAAGAAGTTCTGGCCCTCGGTGACCAGAGTAGATGATGGTAAGTCTCTTCCTATTCTTCCCTTGGTTTAAAGGGATGACGCTAATTCACGATAGCATACGGTGATCAGAACCTGTTCTGCACCTGCGGCCCGGTGGACGAGACGGACTAAAATGATACCCATGTTTCAACATTCTTCTGATACAGTTATATTTCAACCTTTTTCAACACTTGCCTTGAGGCATTTACGGTGGCATGAGCAGCATGATACGATTCAACAAGTCGTGATAGACATTGGGATGGCGTTTGATTTGTTTAGAGTGGCAGCCAGCTGTGGCCGCCGAAAATAGCGAGTTAATACCAGTGCACTGCTCAACGCAGTGCATATCAATATATCATCATTCATCAATATCTCCATTAGTCTACTATCATAGCCGGTTTGTACCTCTTTAGTACACCGAATGCTTATCTTATCGGAGCGGCGGCGATCACATGGTCAGGGCTGCAGTGGGTACCTGAGGCATCGGAACCGGCCGCTCTCCGTCCACGAGGGACTTCACTCTCGCCGCAATTGGCCGATAATAACCCTCCGTCTACCCCAATATCCACCTGACTTATTCCGGTCTGAGACCTGCTTCACTTCTATTTAGATAGACCTCGACCCGGTGTTCGTATCCCTGGTGTTGAGCTTGAGTCGGAATTGCTGCCTCTGTTTGGTCCTTGCCGCTGCGTATATATCGGGTTCAAGTGCTCCGTACATATCACTATAGTAAGATATCGCCACGCAACATGGAGAATGCGCTAACAAGATCAGGACTTCTTCGTGCCGATGATAAGGGTTGACGTACGTCAGTGACGTCTTCGTTGATACGTGTATATGATTTTTGCCGGTACATAGCTTCTTTTCTTTGCGCTTCTACCTGGCAATGGCAACGGCAACAGCAACGGCCCCTACCTTCACTCTGTTCCTCGGAACATTTATCCATCTTCCCCGCAAACCAACTGGTGTGGACTCAGATGCGAAATGGAGACCTGAACTTGAGATCAATCACGGCGCGTTATGGGTTTCGAATAGCGACGGCAAGATTGCGGGGTTTGACTGGTCTTTCTCACCAGGTGACGGCAACGTGAAGGCGTTGACGGACAAGTTGGGGCTGAGCGGAAAGGTCACGGAGGTGGTGCGCGCAAGGGAGGAGAGGAATGAGTTTTTCTTCCCCGGGTTTATCGGTATGCTCCCTTGCCCCTAGACATATCCAGATAAAGGCTGACAGACAAGATACACACATCCACGCCCCGCAATACCCCAACTCGGGCATCTTCGGCTCCTCAACTCTCCTCGACTGGCTTGAAACATATACCTTCCCCCTCGAATCCTCCTTCAGCGACACCTCCAAAGCCCGCGCCGTCTACTCGCGCGTCATCGCCCGCACCCTCGCAAACGGCACCACCTGCGCCTCCTACTTCGCCACCATCCACGTCCCCGCCACCAACCTCCTCGCCTCCCTCTGCCACGCCCGCGGCCAGCGCGCCCTCATCGGCCGCGTCTGCATGGACAACCCCTCCTTCTGCCCGGACTACTATCTCGACTCCTCGCCCGAATCATCCGTCACGAAATCCAAGGAAACAATCGCCCACATCCATTCCATCGACCCAGACAGCACGCTTATCAAACCCATCCTCACCCCGCGCTTCGCGCCCACCTGCTCCCCGCCCGCCCTCCGCGGCCTCGCCCAGCTAGCGCAGTCCTACAATCCCCCGCTCCACATCCAAACCCACCTCTCCGAAAACACAGGCGAAATATCTCTCGTCCGCGAGCTATTCCCCCAAAGCAAAGACTACACGTCTGTGTATGATGACTTCGGCCTCCTCACGCCGCGAACCATTCTCGCGCACGCGGTGCATTTATCCCCGTCCGAGCGGGAACTGATCGCCGCGCGAGGTGCAAAGGTATCGCATTGCCCTGCGTCGAACTCAGCGCTGGGGAGCGGGATCTGCGCCGTGAGGAAGTTGCTAGAGGCTGGTGTGGAGGTTGGACTAGGGACCGATGTGAGCGGCGGGTATAATTGTAGTGTGCTTGAGGCGGTGCGGCAGGGGTGTCTTGTTTCGAGGCTTCTACGGCATAGCCGGACTGATGATACTGGTGATGGGGACGATGGTGAGGAGGTGCTGAGTGTAGAGGAGGGGCTGTACCTTGCTACGCGGGGCGGCGCGGCGGTTGTGGATCTGGCGGGGGAGATTGGGGGTTTTGAGGTGGGGATGAGTTTTGATGCGCAGATGGTGAGGTTGGGTCATACACATTCGTCTCCGTCGCCGGCGGAGGCAGCGGCCGAGCACGGGGTTGTAGATGTGTTTGGGTGGGAGTCGTGGACGGAAAAGGTGCATAAATGGGTGTGGACAGGGGATGATCGGAATGTAAGGGCTGTTTGGGTCAGGGGGCGACTGGTTCACTCATTGGATGAAGGACAATCACAATTGGGTGTGAGCAGACCGCAGAGAAAGAAGGCTACGTGGACAGGGACAGGGATGGGCTGGGAGTCGAGGTGGTGGTTGTGTGGCTTGGGATTCGTGAGTGCTTGGTTTGTTTTTGATAGAGTCATGCGGTAATGTCCTACTGCGCAGCGAAGCGAGCATCTTGTAAATACTTCATTGTCAAATATTCAAATACTAGCTGCAGCTTCTCATACCCTCGCGATGCCCTAGTGGAACAGCTCCACGCAGTCGAAGATCTAGCAAGGTCAGTTAGTCTGGAACACGCAAAGTGGTGACTGAACTTACAAAGTTGGGACTGAGGAACGTGTCTCCGGAACTGCCAGAGACAACGCTAATGGTAATCTGCAACCGTCAGCTTGGTAATTAGACCGATAAGATAATGACGACGTACCGTGTTGGTGCCCGCAACGATCGTGCCGGCAGGAATCGCAACATCATACACCTCACCGAAACCCCTGTAGGCACCACGGGTGACGCCGCGCGAGTTGAGGTCTTTGGGCGCGGAGGGAACCGGTCCAGTAAACGAGTTGACCTGTCTCATTAGCTTGCGAAGAAAAGCTCTCTGGGCCGATGGCGTACCGTGACCTGGGGACGACCACCCGCAAAAGACAGGGTCGTGCCGATGCGCAGCGTAGCAGCGCCGGTCTGCGAGGACGACGCCGTGAACTTGATCGTGACGGGGCTGTTGACCGACTTGAAGACGGCCATGGGGAAGTCGGACAGCGAGGAGCTGCCGACGGTGTAGGTGAGCGGGCCCCAGCTGGCCATGCGCGAGTCGGACGGGTGCATCCTCAGCTGGTTTGCTGCGTTGCGAAAGCCGGTGGGTCTAGATCGTCAGTACTTCTCGATGGATTGAAACTTTCGGACGCTGAAATGAACTTGCACTTACTGGCCGTCCCATTCGCCGATCTTGAAGATGGTCGTGCCGGTCGTCACAGATCCAGAAATGTTCTTGGTGGTTGTCGAGCCGGCCGACACGGAGACAGAGGTCGAGGCAACTTTGTATTCGCCCTGGTAGTAGACCATGGTATAGGTTCCGGGTTTCATGGCGGGAGAGGTGAAGCTGCCGTCGGAGGCCGTGTAGGTCCAGTACTGCGCCTCATTGTTGTACCTGGAGAATCAGTCATACTCGGTAATTAGTCTAGGGTTGGGCAGGAATACCAGTGAACAACCCATTTAAACTTGGAATCAGCACCCGATGCTTTTCCAGACACCTTGCCTCGGGCACTGGCCGGGACGTAGCCATTAATGTCAAGGTTCGCAAAGAAAGACGTATCAATGTTGGTGCCCGGAGTGCCGCTGCGACTAAAGTACATCGAGTATGGGCCGTGCAGACCCATGCGATTCGCTTCTGTTTGGGCGTGGCCGGAGTTCTGGGTGCATTAGCGACTGCACGATTCCGGGCAGACAAACACCTACCATGTACCAGTAGAGGGAGTTGTATTGGCCTCCGTTATTGGTATTGATATCGCTGGTGAAATCAGTGGCGGCTCAGATATAGGGACAAAAAAAGAAACATACCGGTGGAAAGGACCGCCGGAAGAAGATTCGTATTGGTTCAGGATCATGCACACGCGATACGCGCTGCCAGAGACGCCTGTGTCTGTTAGCCTACATTCAAGGAAAGTGGATGCTACCTACAGTGTCTCTGGTCGTCGATGAATCGCTCGCTGGAGTAGAACTTGCTGCGGGTCTGGCCGTTGACCAGGAACTATGACTGTCAGCACCTGGCATCGTTCTGAGACGACCAACTTACCACATCCGAGCCCTCAATGGCGGTACCGCCAGCGGTGTTGGAGACCACACCAAATGGCTCCTCGTTGGGGAGGAGCTCGTTGTTGAGACGGGCAATGAACCGCAGCTCGCCGATAGAGGGTTCTGGACGGTCAGAAGAGATCCCGAAGCTTTGTCAGAGGACTAACCCGCAGTAATATAGGTTGCCATATGAATGATGGGGTCTCCGTTGTGCACGACGAAGTATTGAGTCAAGGTACTTGTGGAGCAGGTAACCTTGATATAATCGCCTATAGAGGTCAGTACAATAATGCCATCTTCAGCAGTACCTGAACACACCACTCTGAGTGGCAGAGACGGATGCAGATCCGAGACCTGACCCAATGTGACTGCCTGTGCCTTGATACTGCAGCTCGCTGCCGTAGAAATTGATCGATGTGATGTCGCAGTTCGACCGGTTGACGGTGAACTTCAGCGGATTCGCCGAGTTGGCATCGATGACATAGGAGCTGCTGGTCGTGGTGATGCCAAAGGCCGCATTGGCGACGCGAGCCCAGAAGGGAAGGGACAACAAAAGCGTAGCTTTCGACAGCATGGTGAACCGCTCTGGGAGATGGCGTTCTGAGCTGAGGTTCTATTCTGTGGTTCTGCAGAAGTGCAGATGCCTATATATCACCAAATGCCATTCTTCAGGGTATCCAGCCTTAGACGCGGAGGGATCATCCTCTTCATCACATTTCCCCTCCTGGCAATTTGACGGGTTCCACCAATCTCAGGAGGTGGATAATTGCACAACATGAGCGCGGCATCACCATCTATCAAAGCTGGCGCTAGCGAAGGAGTGCATGACGGTAAATTAATTGGATCCACAATATGTACCGATGCATGCGGAGAAGCCTGCGCGAATGCCACGAAATAGATAAATACCACGCGGTAGGTTTCTCCGGGGAAGGGTTGGCGCCAAGTATCATCATCTCAGCAGGATGCTCCTTTAAACCGGCCTATTTCTTCACACAGTTTCAGTGATTTTGAGAGATATCACACCGTACACTAGCCACTCATGCATGCCGACAGCTTGCACTACTGGATCCAATATCGACCTCGTCAGGGGGCAGGAGTATTTCTGGTCCATCCGGATGATGTCTCAGGATGGCATCGCCGTGCCTAAAAGGGACGATCACGGATCACCAGGTGGGGTTTGGCAGGATCCATTGGCAATCCGTTATCCCATATTGTAAGCCAGATTCGGTCGATTTTATCGCGAGAATCCAAGTTATCGTCTTTCAGCCATGGTTTTGAAACACTCGAACTTTTGCCGGAATGATCCAACTGGGTTTCGTCAGGCTTTGGCGCCATAAGCATCTAGTCAGCTGCACCCGGATTTTTTCCGTCTTAAGCTTCTTTTCTTCAGGGGGGACGGCTATTTCAGGTAATTTCCATCAATCAATCAGCCGCTCATTGCATCCCTCGCATTGTATCACCCCGAGTCTAGCAGAGGTGTTGCGGTCGGCCAACTCATCTGATGACGTTCAATTCAGGTATATCCCTCTAGTGTCTTCCAAATCTGCAGAAAGGAGCTGTTGTTCTTGAGACAGCCAAGATGATCGAATGTGTCGAGTTGGGCAATGAAATTCGTGGTGGGCTTGGTGCCAGTCTTCACCGAGATCAGTCCGGAAAGCCCAGCCGTCCAGCCGAAGGACTTCTTGCGTATGAGAATTGGAAAACGTTTCTGCTGATTAATGCCTGAGGTCGAATTCTAGACCATGTTTCTGCTAAGTCGCTGGTCTCACTCATCGTTGCTGACAGATCTGTTCGAATAGCCAAGAGATCAGGATCAGATCAGGATTCAGGAACAGCATATCCAATTCGGAACATCTTCGGACGTTTCAGACCAAATTGGTGTTCACAGCTCATTCCTGCTAGCATGATTTTCGTTCAGGATTTGAAGGGCTGAAAAGAAGAAACGTTAGCATTGCCTACATGTCTGTTTTTGTAGTGAAAGAGCACAAAGATCAGGTGCCTGTTACACTTGCTATACGGCTGAGACATTACCAACCTTGTCCTTCCATGTTCGAAGTATTCATTAGAGACTCATTTACACGGCATCCTTTATCAATATGTTAAAGCCATGTGTTTATGTCCTGTCCTTGTTCAGGGGCGAATTGCATTTCAACACATGTGTGAGGACACGCATTTCTGAAGCGCAATTCCTATAGCAGAGTAATGGGTGGCCATTCAGGCTCTCCAAGGCAACGCTGGCTGATGTGCTCAGCGTGCAAAGGCTCAATTGCTATGAGTTAGAGTCAGAGCATACCTAGCATGATGCAGCTAGCCGTCGCTGGCATTCTAGCAGAAGGGTCATGAGATTGAACTAGGGCGCCTTAATTCTTCTTCATTAGCAGACATGAACAGCTTTTTCAGCCCAGCTCTATTATACATAATATTGTATAATGATGTTCAAACAATTCTAATGCAGAATTTGATTGATTGTCCTTCCTGGAGCCTTGAGAGAGAGTCAGGTTATGTCAATCGTCCGGAGTGACGGTCTGCACTTATCTCTGCTGGACATCAATTCGGCAAAACTTGACATTTCGGGACTAAAATGGCTCGCTATTGTCTGTATGCATTCTGTTGAGCAACGCTATTGCTATTTAATGCATGCGCTGCTATAAATTGAGCATCCTCAATCTGAAGCTATTGTTCGGGTACATGCATCATATTGTTCTAGAATGGCTCGGGTCGCCCCTAAAGTGGATAACCATGTGGCACAACTGACTTGCTAATGCATCTTTTAGCTCTGGTGCCAATCAATTGGTGAGGTTTTGAAGCCCCAAGTCGGAGAAGATTGTCTTCCATTCTGATGGGTGGCTGGATCCTCATGGGCAGTTGAATGGTTGATAGGATCACCGCTTTCGGTAATCTGTTGTGCGACACACCTGAGTCGTACCGCACGCGATATGCCCTGTCTCAGTGACCGCGATAGTTTTGAATCTCCACTGCCTGGTCGGGAGTGACAACTGCAATTGCAAAGATGACTACATTAACTTGGTGGACTCCTCGAGGGTCTGGTAGTATATATGTCGGTCAACTCCAGCTTTCTCGGTCCTTGATCGCTATCTCGGCCCACTACACAGGTCGTCCTCAAACCTCGCTTTTATCTCACGTTGAGTTTGACGTTGAATCGATCCTTGTGTTAGACTTCCGATGAAGCTCCATACATCATGGCTCGCTGCAGTGAAGCTTGCAGTTATCTTCGACCCTGTCACAGGCATTGGACTACCAGCGTCTACGTTAGGAAGAGACCTGCGCCTCGCCGCTGAATTGGGCTTGGATTCTCATCTCGCATTGAATGACCCCGAAGCCTTCCGTTCTATGATTGCCGATTCTGTGGATTCCACAAGTGCAGCAGAATACACTGAGGTGAGTTCAAGCCTTTACAAGTATCGATCTTGTTCCTAACTCAAGCAGGTGCTCATTGACCACGAGGATCCCTCAGTTGGCACCTATCAAAACAGATTTTGGGTCAATGAAGACTTCTATGTCTCTGGGAGTCCGATTATGGTCTATGATATTGGAGAGGCTACGGCCGAGTACTCGGTTTCTTTGTTGACAAATTCCTCATCCTGGCTTAGTCTGCTGTTGCAGGAATTTCACGCTATGGGGATTGTGTGGGAGCACAGGTAGTCCCACTGAGAGGCCTTAAAGTATTAAACATGTACTGATGTTGCAAAGATATTATGGAGGCTCACTTCCATTCCCCGTCAGTCAGGATATGCCGGTGGAGCACTTAAAGTATCTCACCACCAAGCAAGCCCTTGCCGATATCCCATATTTTGCTGCAAATTTCAGCCGGCCGAATCATCCTGATATCGATCTGACACCCAGAGGAACCCCTTGGGTTATGATCGGAGGATCCTATCCTGGTATCCGTGCCGCATTCACACGCAACAAATATCCCGATACCATATTTGCAGCTTATGCTTCGTCCGCTCCTGTACAGGCTCAGCTCGATATGAGCGTGTACTATGAGCAGATTTACCGCGCTATGGTGGCCAACGGGTACAGCAACTGCACCAAGGACATCCAGGCAGCTCTCAAGTACATCGATGACCAGTTGTCCAACGAAGAGTCGTCCGCGTCGATCAAACGGCTTTTCCTTGGACCCGACGCGGAGAAGAACAGCAATGCAGACTTCACCACGGCTTTGGTCGCTCTTTACGGACCTTTCCAGTCTCACGGTCTTTGGAGCGGTAATCAAAGCTTGCACAATTTCTGCAACTACATCGAGCTGGACCCAGCGACAAACCAATCGGCAGGACCGGAGGGTCTTACCCCGATCCACGGCAGCGAATACGTTGCAGAGCGATGGGCATCTTTTCCTTACTTCATATCGCTGGTCAACAGGATGTACGGGACTAACTGCAACGGTCTCAATGCTTCAGAGCCTTTGTCGTGCGATTTCAGTCAAATCAACACCACTCCTGAATTGATCAGCTGGACTTGGCAATACTGCACTGAATGGGGTTTCTTCCAAAGCAACAACTTTGGCTCTCATGCGCTACTTTCCTCGTATCAAACCCTGGAGTATCAGCAGGAACTCTGTTATCGCCAGTTCCCCAATGCCGTCCAGGCTGGGATCCTACCGCCACGACCACGGACGGAAAGCTTGAATGAAGATTTCGGCGGCTGGACTATCCGACCGTCCAACGTGTACTTCAGCGGGGGGCAATTTGATCCCTGGAGGCCATTGTCGGTGCTATCTGATGAAGATTGGGCTCCACAGGGGGTCAATTTCACCACTGAAATACCGGCCTGCGGGGTCTCCACAGGCAAAGACGCGGTATTTGGGTACATTATGGAGAACGCGGTGCACTGCCCCGACTTTCAACTCACCCCGGCCGCGGCAGTCTCCCGGAATTACTTTAGCCAGGCCTTGAAACGATGGCTGCCATGTTTCAGGGGTATCTAATCCGTCTGGTAGTCACAGTGATCATTGATGTCATTTGAGTGCGGGGAGTAGTTAGCGTGGCCGATCCTAGGGTGTAGCTAGCCTTTTTCATATATGCTTGCGACCTAGCCGAGACTAGACCGTGGATAACTTGAGCCTGACATCTTGCATCCCCTCTGTTCTAACCCTTTTCGTATCTGCTTGCGATGGATCGTTCATCGGTCTTCTTTTGACCATTCATACGTTGAGTTTTCTGTAAGTTTGGTAGCGATCCACTCACACTGTGTTACACATGTCGGAGTCCGAGTCGACTCTGCTCCGAAGCATCAACAACCCCTCTGGATTAGCGAGGTTGTCAAGATCGCATACTGAGGGGTAGCTCTGAATTCGACATGAGCATGTGGTATAAATAATGAGCACTGCGGTCATGGATAACCCTGGTAACACCGGCCTGGGCCATTTCTAGTTCCAATATTCGGAAATTTGGTATTGTCACACAAGTCACCACTCACAAGGTCAACCTCACCCACCAGGGCTCGACACCATGCTGGCCCCTGCTGTCGCACTATTGACCGCAGTATACACCACCTTCTTGGTCCTCCGTTACTTCCAGCAACTCTACAAGCATCGCAAACAGGCTCGATCCCTGCGCTGTCAGCCCCCCGCCAAAGGCGAAGCCGGCATCTTCGGCATCTCTTCTTTTCTACGACTGAGAAAAGCCGTCAAGGAGAAGAGATGGATTGAGCTCATCGCCGAGCAGTATGGAAAGTACGGTAACACATTTGCGCAGACGATCTTTGGACAACCGCTGGTAGCTACGATTGAGCCGGAGAATCTCAAGGCTGTGCTCGCGACCCAGTTCAATGATTTCGAGCTTGGCACGAGACACCAGGAATTTTACCCGTTACTCGGAGACGGGATCTTCACGCTGGATGGAGCGGGTTGGTCGCATGCGCGTGCGCTATTACGACCCCAGTTTACGAGGGACCAGGTGAGTGATTGTTTCCACCTCGTCAAACTGTGCTAACTCCTCAGGTGGCCGATTTGGACTTGATGGACGGCCACATCTCCAGACTGATTGACCTAGTCCCGAAAGACGGCTCCCCATTCGATATCCAGCGGTTGTTCTTCCTCCTCACAATCGATTCGGCGACTCATTTCCTCTTTGGCGAATCGGTGGGCTCTCTACACGCTGGCACAGACACCGGCCTTCTGGGTAGATCAGCCGTCGGCAACGCGGAGGGCTTCGCAGAGGCGTTCAACACGGCTCAGGAGTACCTCGCCGCGAGGTCCCGAGCGGTCATCTTCTACTGGATGATCAACCCCAAGGAGTTCCGCGATGCCAACAAGCGCGTCCATGAGGTGGTCGACCACTATGTCCAGCTCGCTCTCGAGTCACGGCGGAATTCGGAGAAGAAGCAGCCTGGAGGCCGGTATATCTTTGCTGAGGCCCTGGCGGCCGAAAACGACAATCCGAAGGTGCTGAGGGACAACATGCTCAACATCCTGTTAGCGGGGCGCGATACAACCGCCAGCCTGCTGAGCTCGACCTTCTTCTATCTGGCTCGCCATCCGAACGTGTGGACCAAACTCCGTCGGGCCATTCTGGATGCGTTCGGCGACGCCGAGCACCCCAAGGAGGAGATCACGCAGACAAAGCTGAAGGATATTCCGTACTTGCGATATGTGCTGAACGAAGGTACGTCGCCCCAGACACAATGCACAGTGGAAAGATCCTGACAGCAAACCAGTCCTGCGGCTCCTGCCACCCGTCCCTGCCAACTTCCGCGTCGCCAACAAGGACACAACCTTACCTGTTGGCGGTGGACCCGATCAAAAGTCCCCCGTCTACGTCCGCAAGGGCACAGTAGTCACCTACAGTGTATACGCCATGCACCGCCGGACAGACTTCTATGGTCCGGACGCTAACGAGTTCCGACCCGAACGCTGGGAAGAAAACGGCAGACGAGGATGGGAGTATCTTCCCTTCAACGGCGGCCCGAGGATCTGTCTTGGCCGTGAGTTTCTCCTTACTTTCACGAGGCTATACTTCTAGCTAACATCTGCAGAACAATACGCACTCACCGAGGCAAGCTTTACGATTGTCAAATTGCTCCAGCGCTTTGATCGGATTGAGAACGCAGATCCAGATCTGATTGAACCAGTCCAGCAGACGAATCTCACTCTGGCGCATGATAGGGGCGTATATATTCGACTGTACTCGTCGAAGGCACTTTAACAGTGCGATATATCATATAACGGGACGGCTTACGACAACTTGAATTATCTCGACTCAAACTATTCTGTGTTTTTCTAGCTTAATGAATGTACCTACTATACTATATAGTCTACTAGATATCTCGACGACTGATGTTCATAAAGGATAATTCTACCAACAAAATACCAGACCCATATACATCCAAAAGAGGAAAGTGGTATATGCGCCACACATGGCTGGCGCTGTGGCGCAGGTTATCTCCATGATTCGCCGAGACAGATGGGCTGGATTTCCACCGTCGACACCATCGAATCACTTCAAAACTATTGATGGAGTAGACCACACTAAGACCTTTGGAGCATCTCACTGGAGCACCATAATTCATTTGACGCAGGCTCAACTTTGCTGGAATATTCTCTTCTCAGTGAGATCTGTTTCAGTCCAATCAAGATCAAGTAGCCGGTTATCTCAATTCCGGCCTTTCGTCGGAACAACAATCAGCTTCTCCTCTCATCGCTCCTTGACATCCGTCTTGGAAGTGATCGTACATAACTATTCGCTGCAGCTAGTTTCCTTTGCGAGGGGATTCTAGCGAATTACACCCGACTTACGTTCATCCGTCTCACTGAACGGTCAATCAATATGGCCTCTACTTTAAAACCCAGTTCACAACCCCCAGCGACAGGCGTCATCGTCCCTAAAATGGAGAATCCTCCTCAGGATACAAATTTCGCCGAAGTTCCTGAGAAGGTCAATTCCAGCGGCGAAGCCTGGACCTCAGAGATGCAGTATGTGTCATCGCTGGCGAAGCTGCAAAAGATGGAGGCGACGGTTAGTCTTCTCGCCCTTTGCGTTGATTTGATGTTCAAGCTGACAAGTGCAGATCCATCAACTGCGGACTCTACTCTCTGGGCGCCTGATGGAGCCAATAGTCCCCATCATCAACCCCAAGGCGGCTTCGAGGAGGCCGCTGCCAAAATCGCCGCGTGTGCTCTTTGAACAGCTCTCGCAGACGGCACGCGCGAGCGTCGCAGAGGTCCAGGAGTTCCAGGCTATGTGGCGCAGCCCTGAGATGAAAGCCATCTGGGACCATGTGGACGCTCGGATCAAGCAGAATGGTGGCCAGCTGCTGCAGCCGACGGGGATGTGGGAGCGGGACTATGATGTTCTTCTTGAGGAGCTTGAGAAAGAGGAGCGGTCGCAGAAGGACCAGCAGCAGAGGATTAAGGAGGAGGAGGAACGCGCGAGGATTCAAGCGGTTGAGGGTGGCTGGAGGACGATCGTGGAGACGTTCATTCGACGAAACTTACCGGGGGTTCGCGTAATGGCTCATCAGGACCAGGCTAGGATCACTGTTGTTCTCGTCAAGGCTGGGATGGCATTTCAGTTGCAGGCGGTCAATGGAGATGGACATGATATGGTCGATTGGCGAGTTCAGGACCTGGCGGCTCCTGGGAAACCGAAGACGAAGCTTGAGACGGCGGTTGCAGCTTGTCTGAACTCTCGTCCACGACAATGGGATCTTGCGTATCTACTGGTAAGTTTACATATTGACGCCAGGACCAGATACAACGAGACAAGTCTAATCTCAGTTCAGGACATGATCGCCTCCTACTCCGACATCAAACACACACCCTGCGCAAAATGCGGCAAAATGACCGACAACGCCGCACAACTCCCCTCCGTCCGCAGACCCAACCCCATCGAATCGTCCCAAGGCCAACCAGTCGTCTGGGAAGCATATCACCCCGCCTGCATCGATCCTTCCCCGTCCTCCCATCCTACCTCCAGCTAACCATGCACCCCATGCACAACATCATGCCAATACCCAGCCGGATACTCCACCCCCCTCCAATCCCAGTACCGCCGCGGAATGACATGCACCCGCCTCTTTCTCCCCCTCCCCTTGTCCAATTCCTCATCACAATACTCAACCCTACACCACGTCCCATGATCAGGAACCACATACCTCCTCCGCCGGAAATCATACCGCTCAGACGCACCTCGCCTCGCCCACGGGAACGGCGTCTCGTCCGCCTTGGCGCAGCAGCATCCCTCCCTGCACTCCCACCCAGACCAATTGATCCGTTCCTGACTCTGGCTTCGGCTGTTGATCTTCCCGACGTATATGTCCGGGCCGCGATTGGTCAGGACATCGAAGAGACGCCACCGACGGGGCCAGCGCGAGGGGTTACCGGGCTGAGGATCTTTCGGCCAGATCCAGCCTAGTGTTGTGGAGGGCATCGCAGCGAGCTGAGCTCAGGAACGAGGAAGAGGTTTAGAAACGAGGCAGGGAGCGAGCTGAGCTTGCAAACCGGATAGCGAATTTAGCAGCAAGCGGATAAGTGAGCTGGGATTGCACCGTACATTCAGCTTGCTTTTGCTTAGGATGAGATGGGGATGTGCACTATATCTCGCCTCAACTCAGCCATACTTATACCTGTACCTGTGTACGAGAATAAAGAATAAAGTTTTTTCCATCGGGTGGATATAGGTCCATGGGACAAAGGTTGCATTGCGTGCGGCTGCATGGCTCTTTTTGCTGGCTGCAGGACTATTTCTTTACTATCCTGGTACTCCCATCCTGTCCTGCTTTGTATCAATTGGACAAGGCATAGGTAGAATGCAAATGGAGTGGTTTGTGATGAACCAGACAAAGGATGAGGCTCAATGCAATTGCTTTCATTCATATTTTGTTCTAGACTGGTAAACTGGTTGATGAATTATGATATGCATGTCAATTTCTATGCTAATACAGCTCATTATAGACACCAGATGACCGAATAGATTGAATATACCAGTCCCCGCCACTTTCGATTATTGTAATGGCATATACACGGAGAGAAGAAAAAAAGAGAAAACGCCAGCCCAACCTTGCGGATACATCGCTATTGTCATGAAGGAAAAAGGTCGCTCATTCGGATGCAATATGTTGTTGGATAACACACGATACGTTCATGAGGAAGCTCAAGTGGAAAAGACACCAAAGTCACCGGCGAACCAGGTGAAGGACGCTATTGTGATCATGACCATGCCAAAGGCGAACTTGAGGGCTTGTCGCTCGATGTCCGAGAGGGCGCCGTTGCAGGTGGCGCAGTTGAATTCTATATTCGGGTCAGTATGCTTTGTCAAATATACATAAGAAAAATAAGAGCATACCGTTGAGAGGGGTATAGGCTTGCGGACTGTACATGCCAAAAAGGTAACCGTTCTGCGAGCCAAGGTGGCCGGGGCTTGCGGTGTCTCCAATATCCTTGTCCACGTCGACCACGTACAACGTGTACGTCGCAGTAAGCAATGGGACCGTGGCATTCGCCTGGTACTTGCCCGTATCCCACACCACCTTTCCAGTCGCCTCGACGCTCATGTTGCTCGTGAGCGTATACGTCGCGCTGTTCATGGTGCAGGTCGCGAGAACATTCACCGCAGACGGCGTCACCAGTAGAGATGTATAGTTCCAGGCAAAAGTCACATAGTCGCCAATCTTGTAGTAAGTTGTGGCACCCGCAGTGGGGATCAACATCGACGTTCCGCCTGCAGGGAGACGTGCATCGATCGAGGTCGTCTTGGTAGAGGTCTTGGTCTTGCTGTTCTTGCCAGATTTGTCCGTGGCAGTGTCGGTAGTTTTTCCCGACTTCGTCTGTGTGCCGGTCTCCTTGGCCGTTCCAGTAGCGGTCTCCGTTCCACTGCTAGAGTCCGTCGCAGTTGAGTCCGCGGTATTGGTTTCCGAGGAAGAGTCCGTCTTGCTCGCCTTAGAATCAGTAGTTGATTCGTCGGATGCAGTTGTATCTGTCAAGTCAGCATGCGAACAAGTGAGCAATAATTCCTGCAAACTAACCAGCTCTGGCCGCGATCTCTCCGTGTGCCAGGTTCAGCCCGTCCTGGGGCCATGGCCAAGCCGAGGAAATTGTTCCCAGCAGGAGGAGAAGGCTTAAAAACGAGAGGAAGTTGAGGGACTGCATGATGGACGATGAAGCTATCACGCAATACAGGGACTGAGTCCCTTGAGAAAATGTTGGGAGGGTTGATGTCCGGCTATTCCCTAACCGATCGGCTTCTGGTTTCGCAAACGAGTGTCAACGACCGAGAGAGAGCGATTCACAACGTCGGCAAAACAGTCTGGATGTAAGATGCACAGGTAGAACAAATTTCTCCAAGTCAGCGGGTTAGTGAGACATGCAGATCGGGTGGTATCGTATGCGGGTCGCAAGGAGGGGAGGCTGAATTGGCAGGTAAACAAAGCGAGTGACTGGTCAGAGAATCAACTCAACAGCATCACACCATGGGAAACTGGAGAGAGATGACCAAATTGAAGATACAAAATTCAAGCAGGATTTCGAAAAAGCCAAGTCAATTCATGAAAAGGGTAAAAAGGGTCTAACGAGAAAAGATGCCAGACGGGGGGTCCGATCGAAGCGACTAGAGAAGGGGATCTGGAGGCGGGCTAGCCTGTTTGGGCATAACTGAGACATGGGCTATTTTTGGCTATCAGAATTATTCACAACCATCACATGAAGGTCAAAATCACTTAGAACCCAGTCTATCCATCTCTATCTCATCTAATTGGCACGCTAAAACAACTGAACTACCATGTTTTCATCAGGATATCCGCGATTTATCGTCATCATGGTCGCCAGGAATGCTACTTAGAACGACTCGACGTCTAAGCTTGACCAAAACATAGCAAATAGATCCATAATTATATCACAAAGGAAGGTCCACTATTCCCTACAATCCAAAGATATAGCAGCGATTGACATAAACGACTGACATCACAGCAGTATTACAGGTGCATAAACATTAACAACGTTTCCATATGTGCGAAGCATATCAATACATATCATTCTCGACAGGTAAGGAGCGGCTCATATCCTCCAAACCCCTCTAGTGAACCAAGGAATCATCACTCTCGCCACGCGCATCTCATATCCGGTGGCAGCATCCTCCACTGGCCAATATCCGCACCCTCGGGTCTATTTACGAAGTATATTCGACCTGAAGGTTGACGGTACTGCAAGAGGAGGGAAACTTGGGTTCGTAATAGCGGTAGATATAGAAGAGCTGGGGTGCGCCGTGGTACCAGTCGCACACTGGGATGAATTAGCCACATGCAGAGTTACCGGGTACCTCAGATGGAAATGCTTACCCAGCCAGCCGCCAAAGCCCTGCTGCTCCGACCACTGCAGGCCGGTGCTATTGATGAAGAATCCCTCCGCGCCGTAACCGACGTTGATCTCGACAGGTTCCCATTCTGCGAACTAGTCAGTTTCGAGTCGAAGCCGGTGTAGTTGGGAGAGCAGGGAACTAACGAGCATAGTTGGTAACAGCGATCGGGTTGAAGCCCCATGGGAATGGAGTCTTCAAGTCGAACTGGGTGTACGTGCCGTTCAGGAACGCCGTACTGGCAGTATCCACATCGGACGTGAGGACAGCGTCATTGAATCCTGCACCAGTGTGGTATGCGTAGACGTATAGATCATTGTGTTTCTCGTTGGATGCGTCTGCGGTCTTGAGATGGAAGGGCTTGGTGGCGTTGGAGGCCTGGCGAGCAGTATGGAACATGGGGTTGGCCGCCACTGCGGAAACCAGCAGAGTGAGAGTAGAGAGCAGTTTCATTCTGATGATCACTAAACGAGAGATTAGATTATTTTGTTTGACTGCTTTTCAATGAAACCAGCACAAAAGGACAAAACGTGGACAACGATGTAAGAGAATGGGTGACAGAGATGAGGATGGATGTGGCGATATCCCTTCCTTTATTTATGTTCTTGAACATCCACCATCATCACCACTCCACTAAGTGGAACAGCACAGACTGTTTCCAACCGGCACTGGTAATCAAATCATCTCATCAATGATCGGCATCCAAAATTTAGAACCTTCTGCAGACATTGCAGGAATGCTAGTTGCTAGCACACTGTTCTAGCAGAAACTAATCTAGTCCATTCTCCTCAGGCCACACCATCACATCACATCGCCCGCAACAACCAAGAAATTCAAGGAAGAATGAGCTCCACACAGGAGTTGTTCAGCTCAGGCTAAGGTATGGAGACTTGGGACAATCTTCCCGACGCAACGACGATCAATGGCCAGTGGGAACACGGCGAAGTTGCCAATGAGTAGCGTAGAGTACGATCGGTACGTACCGCCTTGGGCACTGGTTGCTGGGGGGAAATAATGATTCATGAAGCGGGGATGGCTTCAAACCTGAAACATTGTCGAAATCAGTCACATCACTCCAAATCCTGAGTACAAAGTACGGAGCATCCTCAATGCTTCTTTGTACTTTGTTGCACACACATGTAACAGTGACATCTATGCTGCTGATGCTTGACTCAGGCGTGCTATTTTTACACTTTGAGCTCATACTCTCTGTAGTCCTCTATGCTGCGACAAAATCAGTCACAGGGTGATCGACATCCCGATCAATGCACGCTAACAGGAACAGGAGATGAGCATCCATCCAGACTTCGGAATCATGCCGCATTTGCCGTATTCGGATGTTATATTTGTAGAACAGATTGCATAATGAACACATCGACGGCAATACCAAGCATCTTCGGCTGAGATTCGAAGTTTTCGCAGTCGCTAAGGATCGTCACTATCATAACATTCAACCTACATTTATGGGTCATGGTCAGGGAATTCATGGACTATCATACCAGATGGGACCTGACTGATATCATGATCATCTCGGTTCCATTCGTTCCATCCCCCTGAAGTGACATCAGTTGACCTACTACTCATGATCGGGCAGTCCGAAAGGCCATGTTTCAAAGCATATGCGATGCATGCTTAGTGATGTTTATGTCACTCTATCATTAGATCATTTGCACACTCTAAGTATCTACAATGAATGATCCAACGCCATAATCCATGGTATTCCCTTTCCCAAAATCAAGTCGTGCCGCGGAGAGAAACATGACCAACCATGGCCCAAACCAAACTCCTGTCCATGCTGTAACCTGTAAATGACGAGATAGTTGCTATTTCACCTTGGCGAATTCGGGTTTCAGTGACCATCTTCCTCGCCCGTTTCGTCCACCTTTTTCGAGCACGGCAATTGTTTTAAGCATTTCCTTAAACTCTGCCGATCGCTGGGGTGTGGTACAGTAACGGTTGAAGTGGTCGATCAGCATCTGTGTGTAAACGGCTCCACCCTGCGACAAGATGTAGTCTCGAATCATCGTCATGAAATCCACGCCAGTGGGAGTCCTGGATGGTGCAGG